TACCACTAAGTCTATCTCTCTTTAAAACATTCCTATTGATTCTTTCCAACTCTACAACTTTCTGGGGCAGAGAATTCCAAGTCTTTACAACCCTCTGGGTGAAGGAATTCTTCCCAAAATTAGGATAATACAATAATCCTTGCATTTAATATAGTGCCTCAGCATGTTGTTGAGACATCTAAAAGCTCTTCAGTTCTGAAAACAGTTTTACTTACACAAGTTCAAACTGTTTTGGTTGTGCGTTAAGTCTATGCCCCACTTATTTAGCAATCTCACTCGGATAAGCCTCAGGATGCTTACTGTGGAGAGTGGGGAAGTGGCACGGTGATGTAGAAAGGAGGATTCATAAAATAAATTAACCTTGCGTTTGATATTGCATCTTATACCTTTGTGGAGATGTCTCGAGGTGCTTCACAAGAATTTGGATAAAGTGCAGTGGGAATTGAGGTAACTGGTACAAAAAAAAGAGGATTTTTTTTCTGTATCGAAATTTTCCACCTCATCTGAGAGTCCTTGATGCACTGCATGTAATAATAATAATCATGTAGAAAATAAGAGAGTTCTATTTCCTAGCACTAACTCCCTTGAATCGCAGAAAAGCTCTGTAGATGCTGATTGAATAATTTCATGCTAAGCGTTTTCTGCACAAACTCCGCCATCCTCAGTACACATGTATGGAGCGTGTGCTACTGTTCAGTAGGGAAACCCATGTCACGTATCATAGGCTATTATGCACCACACAAGTGCTTGCTGTTTAATTATATTCTCAGAAGAACAAAACATTAATTTAATTTCACAGGACAATAACAGCAGGATATGCATGGATACTCAAGCATTCGTTAGACATAATGCCTCAAAAATTAGATTTTTAAAAAAAAACACTTTGAGAAGTCGAAAGTAATTAAACCAAACAATAAACAAGCAGTCATGGGCAACGTATTTCAGACAGTGATAACAAAATACAAATTTCTATTAGATCTGACTCAACTTCAATTAATCTTGGTCACTGTACAGATTGTGCTGAGTTTGCTGTTCTCAACCACAGCGGCCGTAAGTGCACTGCCATTGACCTCAGCACCCCTTGTTAGTGTGCACATGTAGGGTGGGATAATGGAGTTGGGTGAGGATGGAATTAGATAAGCTACTGCTGATCTAAGTCCATAGACACCTTGCTTGAGATTCCAATATGTGGATGTTGGATGAGAATAAAATTGGGTTTGCCTCAGGTGCTTGAATATTCTTTGAATGCTCTCCACTGTACTCCCAATGGAAGAGATAAGGAGCCAAACATCTTTAGGACAATGGGGAAAATTAGAGGAAACAAAAAGCCCATCACTGTACATACGCTGCCTGCAGAAAAGCATTGAATGTGCCTTTAATAGAAAGACAACAATCCAATCGGTGGGTTTAGATGATGGACTCGCAGCACATGAGGCTTGGCCTTGTGATTCATAAAATTATCTGAAAAGAGATTGGATTACTAATCCGCAATTCGCCGAGAGCCAGTGGCCTCTGCATATTTAGATCAATGGGAATGTTTTGCCTCGTGAAAAGAATAAGTCATGATTTAGAAGTCTTCAATGACTGAACTAATTCGACCTGAAATCATGTGAATGGTCTGAAACTGAACTGTGATCCTAAATACAACTCAATTTCAACTGGGTTCAGTCTGCTTCTGAGCTGCAGAGAGCAGGACAAAGGCAAAAGCCTCCAGGACAGCAGGTCTCTTTCTTGTATAAACATATCCAACTGAAATGGTCCTGAAATGTGTTTTGGTAAAATAATGATAATCTTAAACTGGGAAGTGGGAGAACATGGTATTTGAAAGAACATAAGAACATAAGAATTAGGAGCAGGAGTAGGCCATTCGGCCCCTCGAGCCTGCCCCGAGGGGCAGTCTCAATTTTAAGACTGTGACCCCTGGTTATAGATTCTCCTACCAGGGGAAACAGACCCTCAGCGTCGACTTTATCCAGTCCTTTAAGAATCTTATATGTTTCAATAGGATCTCCCCTAATTCTTCTGTACTCTAGAGAATACAGCCCTAGTTTATTCAGCCTATCCTCATAGGTCAGCCCCCTCATCCCAGGAACTAACCTAGTGAATCTACGCTGCACCCCCTCTAGGGCAGAACAGCCTCAATGTTCTGCAGACACGGATGGCTATTCGCCCATAAACGCACAGTCTCACTGCACTTTACAGTACACCCTGTGAAGCGCTTTGGGACGTCCTTCTAATATGAAAGGTGCAACATCAAATGTAAGGATTATTGTTATTATACATCTATGCACAAGAGTACCAGCAATTGAAAGATTATTTGAGCAAATTGGATTATGACACTGATATAAATCTGAGTTGAACAGATTGAGATGAATGAAATGCGGTAGATTCCCTGTTAGAATATACTCTCTGTGCACTATAAAGCAGATGACTTCTGGATCAGCGAGTCACTGCTTTGTGGGTTCTTGCACAATTAACATGTACAATAAGCAGAAACCAATGTTGGCAGTGACTTGATGACCCGGGAAATTAGACAATATTGTGGTGTGGGAAGCAGCTGCCTTTCTGAGCGCACGCAGTAATTTCACTGGTCATGTGATTGGTATGTCACAGGCCCTGATCAGTGATTACTCCGCATTATAATAATAATCCTTGCATTTGATATAGTGCCTTTCTCTTTGACCGAGCCTTCAGCTCCCCTCTCGACTCTCTTCCCCCTCCTCGCTCCCTCCCTTCCCTCCCCTCACCCTGACCATTTCCCCCCTCCTCGCTCCCTCCCTTCCCTCCCCTCCCCCTGACCATTTCCCCCCTGCTCGGGTCATGACCCAACTGTGCAGCGCCTTGGGACGTCCTCCTGACGTGAAAGGCGCTTTATAAATGGAATCTTGTTGTTGTTGTTGTTGTTGCCTTATCACGTCTTCAAGAAATCTCAAAGCACTTCACAGAATATACTGTATCGTGCATTGACTGTATATATTTGTGAGTGAAACGCAGCAGCCAATTGCACATAGCAGTGTCCCACAAACAGTCGTGAATTGGGTGACAATTTTTTTTTGAAGGAATTATTACCCTCAGAAAAGGGCCCCGTCAATCGACTAACCACTGGGTTCCTACTTACTGTGTGGCGTGTGGAGTAAGGAAACTTGGCCAATGTTCGCCTTGCCGGGAATCAAACCTAGGTTTGCAAGACGAGTGCTCGAACCACTGATCTACAGGACTCCACTATAAAGTGGGTTCGGATCTTATGCCTACCCCCCATTACTGTGTTATAAAGGGGCACCTCTACAGCATTCACATATCACATTGTAATCTGGGTGAAAATATGGATTTAAATAGTATACTAGACTGCCAGTGTAAAAACATCTCTGAAACGAAACACAGAGCCCTACTACATTGTCATTTAATGGGACTAAGGAGGCTTTTTTACATTTATTTATAAAAGAACCAGTTAAGACTGCTTGCAGAATAAAAGGTTCAAAGATTTGTAATGACAAATTCAAAGGCTTAGCAAATGGACAAAGAATCAAGTTGACTACTTTTATTTTCCTGCGTGCAGTCTTTCAGTCACACTCTGATGGGTTTAAAATTGGACCAGGCAATGATTTGTAGCAATTCAAGACAGTAGTGAAAGACAATATCAAAAGACTCCCCAGTTTCAAAATATATACATAAAGGTGCATGCATTGCACACACACATACATATGGATATACACATACACAAATACACAGACAAATGAACACGCACAACAACAACTTGCATTTAGATAGAGTCCTTCATATGTGGTAACATCCTGGAGCCCTCGACAGTGGCGAAGTCTGAACCTGACTCTGACACACACACACACACGAATACACATACCAGGCAGATACAATACCCATACATGAATATACACACACAAATAAATACACACCCACACATAAGTATACCACTCAAAGTAGGTTAATGTTGTTTGAAATATTTCTTGTAAAATGTTTCTACAGCTATGTATAAACAATAGACAACAGCATGGTTACCTAACAAGATGCAGAATACTTTGTTTGAAGAAGCAAGAGATCCTTATTCTTAATAGGTGGCCAGTGTTACCTATCCTTAATAGGTGACCAGTGTTACGTATCCTTAATAGGTGACCAGTGTGTACCACCATACTCCGGATAGTGTAATCGTAATCCATGGATAAGGCAATTGCAAGTGAAAGAGGAGTGCGGCAAAGATAGCGGAGCCAAGATCCAACACTCAAACCTTTTGGGGGGGGGGGAAATGTGTAAGAAATATAAATTGTACTATTTATAATATTGAGAAATCATGTCTACGTCTTTTAATTAAGCAAAAAACAGTGCTTAAGAGGACAGCTTAGAAAATTCACCTCAGGGCCAGTACAGCATTAACATTCAGGCATCTTATTGGTTCCAATCTACTGATAATGTCAGAAGATCCAAAGCAGTGGATACTCAAGCAGTGCAGTCATATTTATAATGTCATTTCTACCTAATTCTAAATACTCATTACAGAGGTAAGTAATGGGGCATTTGTTATAACTGGGGGCATTTTGCAAACACCGGTGAAGGAAACGGACATGAGCTGTTCAACTCAAGACTTGGTTGTCCACTCTCAGAAGGGTATATGATATTGTTATATGATATGATGGTCCCACTAGTGATAAGCTGCATCTGGGAAACATTCCAGCTAATAAACTATATTGTAAGCACAAGGCAATTCAATTCATCAAGTAATTGTGGGACATTGCTGTGCGCAATTGGCTGCCGCGTTCGCCCACAAATATACAGTCAATTCACTTTACAGTGTGTTCTGTGAAGCGCTTTGGGACGTCCTCCTGACGTGAAAAGCGCTATATCAAATGCAAGGATTATTATTATTATTATTATTATTATAATGCAAAGCAGACGGGTAAGTCCGTGAAATATTTACCTCTACATGCAATTTACGTCATAACGTCAAAACACAGCTCACTCAAAGACCCTCACAATGGAAAGAGACTTACTTGATATTATCCAAACAGCTGGATTCTGGCTTCAGTACAGTTGTATGATGGAACATTTTGTAAAGAGCTATCCCAAGAAATATTACATTCAACTGCAAAATTGAAAACAAAAAGTTACTTTAGCATGAAAAGCTTAATACCTCCCTTCTGCTCCTTTTAGGTTCTTTTTCTGTTCCCCTCCTTCCTTCACATGCATCTCTTGGTTTGCCCTTTCTCCTCTACACCCATCTGTCTTGTCTGTCTGTCACATATCACTTCCAAACAGAAAGTTGGGGCCTACAGCCTCTGCCAGAATAACTCTCTCCAATTATTTTCCGTTATCATCATTGCACAGCTTGAGGTGACTCTCTGCTTTGTCCCTTTCCTGATGAAGTGCATAACCTTTCATGTTTCTTCCCTGCCGTCTATCTGGAACTGATCTTGAGAGGACAAACTGCATGGGGGGAACCTGCACATTCCACCACTTCACAATTCACTGCTATTCCAACATCCACCACCCAAATCAGCCTCACTTCCTCGAATCAAATGCAGGGTTCAGCGTTTCATCAAAATTAATTTTTACTGCAGTCGCCCGACTGTGAAAAGTATTTGATCTAAATAATTATCAATTACATAATTATATGCAAAAAAAATGCACTCATGCCCTGAATCAGACAATGATATCCTCGTCAAGAACCAGAGAAGGAGGCTATGCAAATATCCTCTGTTATTTTAAATGAGACGATTGAGCAATTCTTTGATGGATCTGTGGCACCAGAAAAATTGATCCATTTTACACATCGTGATAAGTTACTTCAATGCTTTGGTGAAATGTTGTTGTCAAAATCACCTTCACTGTTTTTTTTGAGACAGTGAAGCCCTAATTGCTTGCAACGATTAAGTGGGTCAGGAAAGAACATTTATTTTTAAAATGAATGTCCATAAATTAAAAATGTACAGGAAAGGTCTAGCAAAAGTCCTATTTCATACCCTTGGAGGTGCTGTGTTAATTAGCAGTACTTACCATAATAATCAAGGTCGCGGGGCCTATAAAGCTCCAAATGAAGTAGGTGTCTCGCCTCAACCAACATCTGTAATGAAACGCAGGGGACAGGAAACATTCAAGTACTGAGTGCAGAGCATATATCAACATACAGCAGCAGAGTGACAGAGAGGAATGCCCACCGCAAAATAGTCCACTGGGAGCCAGGCGATATTATACCATTGTTCATTTAAATGCTGAATTACGGCACCAATTTCTGACAGCATCATTGATGGAGTAAGATAATTATCTCTCGGAAGACAAAAAAAAAAGCAGAAAGATGGCACTGGGCCTGATGTCAGCACTTGTGTTAGAGCATCTTTCTCTGCTGTTATAAAATCATTGGGAGTGGGGGGAGATGGAGGAGTAATTCACACAACCATTAAATCTTCTAATTCTGATCTTTTTCTCTCCTCTCCCATTACTAGTGACAATAACCTGTCTAGCATTTGTCAGATGGGAGCAGCATTTTATTTAAGAGAGGAATGGAGCAAGCATTTTGTTCAGAGGGGAAATGAGCATCATTCCTTGAACTGTAATTAGCTGAGGTGATCAACCTTTTCGCTGGTTAAACCCACGGCCCATTATCGGCAGTAACATTTCAAGGCTTTGGTAGCATCCTGTGTGGAATGCTTCAGCAGATTTATGACCTTTTACTAAATTATTAATCGTGTAATTTCTGCTGCATTCAACAGGATCAAATTTGTAGTCTGCCTGAAAATTACATTTCTTTCGAGTTTCATTTGTGTGACAGATGGACAAAATGAAAGTGACAAGTGCACGCCTGACTGGAATGAAATCCTTCAAGACAAAATACTGTAAGGACGGCCTTAATTTACATAGCAGAACATAGCAGAACATATTAGAACCAAATGAGCAGCATTTCCACCCCTTTCCTCACCCAGCTTTTGCCTTACTCGAGAACGCATTTACAAATGTCATTGGAAAAAATATATAGGGTGAAAATTGCAAGAGGAGACTTCATTTTCACTACTCACCATTTTCAATACGTGCTTCACTTCACATGTGGATTTTTGTTTGTAATCAATTCCCACTGTTTTGTGACAATCTTTATTTGACCTTACTGTAACGGATACAAGTCTAATAAAGTCATCGGTGGGAATTGGTACAGTAATAATATTACTAACAATCTTTACACTTTTAACAGAGACTCTCATTTTGGGAGGACGTTTCAAAGCGCTTCACAGCATTTTACTGCAAAGTTCTTCCCACTAAGTACCCTTACTTTCCATTGAGCGTAAGGGTGCCCTCCATTAATTGTATGGTAAGTACTTTCCATTAAATAACTGCATTTTCAACCATTTGCTTTTAATGCAGGCTGCTGCTAATAAAATGAACTGTCTGATCTTCTCTGCATTCTTTGATCAATCAAATCATTATATGGTAAGAGGCAGCTAAATTATTTAAATTCAAATCATTTGGTTCTCTTGTGTTCATTAATTCATCAATCAAACAGAAGTAATGCTCACTCCCACAAAGGGATTTTCAAAGCCAAACTGCAGACTTACGCTGTTGTTGTCCCATAGCTCCGGTAGTCCACGGCTGCTGAGACAGCGACAATAAGTGCAGGTACTCCATATCCTACAAGATAGAAGTACTTTCTGCGGGAGTGCTCACTTTCAAAGACTTCTACTAGCATAATGTAGAGCTGAACACCCTCCAGGAACATCCATGTGAAGGCAGCGAGGAAGAAGAAGTGAAGCAGAGCAGCAAAGACTGCACAAGCAATCTGAAAGAAACCATACTGGCAGATTAGCTGGATTTACCCTCTTACTCCTTAATCTTGGCAATGCATATGACATTTGTTATGGGTCAGTGGGAATGCAAAGACTGCCTTATCATTTGATCTATGTACAAGTCAGAGTGTTCCTGGGGAAGAGGGTCTCGGAAACAATTTATGCTAAAAAAGGTATTTTAGAGGGACACATATATTTCAGGTGGAAATTCATTTTGTTGGATGTGTGCAGATTGCAAATGTCCAGCAGGTCTATATGAGCTGTTGGGGGAAGAGGAGCATTTCGGGAGAGAGGAATGGGCAGTGTTGAGAAAGCTAAGCAGTGATGGCTAAGTGAGAATCAATAACGTGGAGCATTTGATTTGAGGGAAATGTTTGGGATTTACACAAGTCTGGTCCATTCTGGTACCCTATTTCCCCTTTGTCCCAGCAGTGGCCACACCTTTAAGATTCAGATTTGGATTTAGTTTGGATTTTTCAAAGCCATAAGGAGCAGAAATTTAATCATAATACTGACTGGCAGATGTGAAGTGGCAAATAAAGAGATAAAATGTTCCCCCAAGTCTGAACATTTGAGTTCAGACTGGGTTTTACAGCGTTTTGGGTCACTGATGTATTAAAAAGAAATATATCAATTAAAACAAAAGTAGAAATGATAGTCTTCAGATGGTGGATGCCACAGATCACTGTGCAGAGGGACAAGGCCTCAGAAATCTAACATATGAGGATTGATTCAAGGACGTAACCTGCTGCATCACTGAAATCTGCATCTTGAAGGTGTGGCTATCAGGATGGGAAATCACTCAGGATGGGAAATCACAGAGAGCGACTGAGAGTGAGAAAAGATGAGATAGAAAGAGAGAGTAAGGGAGAGAAGGGGGAAGAGAGGGGAACAGTGGGAGAAAGAAAATGTGTGAGAAAGAATCAGCAGCAGATATCACTTTTGTACACCATTGTGACAGATTCTAAGTGTGGGAGCGGGTAATTTATTTTGATCTGTTTATACTTCTTGGGACTTAAGAGGTTGAATAAAGAAGAGCAGAAAAAAACAATTTCAAAAACGAAAAACAACAGAATAGAACACAAAATTACATTTGTATTGTGTCTTTCATGTCGGGAGGACATCCCAAGGAGCTGGACATTCAGGACAAAATAGATGGTAAGTGCGGAATTTTATGTTCAACACACTAAAGCTAGGAAGCAGCTCTTTCTCTCTTGAATTTGCAGGACTCAGAGACAACACTAGCATGTACTCTACAACATCAACAACACTATGATGATGACACACAACACTGTACAGAGAATATACATTCCAGTGAACATTAAGTCCAATAAACCTAAAGGAAAGACAACATATCATGGATATTTGTATTAAATTCTTGTCCAAGTCAAAGTGGAACATTTTTAATCTTTTATCATGGAGAAAGAGTGGAGGGAGGGGCTGCATAGTTCTTTCAAAGAGCCAGCACAGGCACGATGGGCTGAATGACCTCCTTCTACGTTGTAGGATTCTATGATTCTATGAAACAGAACACCAATATAACTGATTAATGGGCAGTAGTTAGTGCTGACAAAAGCAAGTCTTGAAACAGAAGCTTCCAAAGCTTTCCAACACAACAATGGTAAAGGTACTAACTACCTAGTGTTCTAAACTTTAGAACAAAACTTTCTGCTCACTGTCTGGATGCTTTGTAATATGGTCAATATATTTTCAGCAGGGACATCAGGACACAGGCAGTTAACGTCAGCTTTTAGGGGGTTTCCATGGCATATCTCTCATCCAACTTGTTGTTTTAATCGTTCAATCTTTCAATTCAAACCAGATCCACTTGTTGGTTTTTCCTTTCACAACTTTAATTGTATCATTTACGTGCAAAGTCAACTTTTTAAAATTGTGCTCAAAATAAGGGATAGATGTGTGTGTGTTGGGGGGGAATAGAATACATTTAAAAAAACACTGGTGCCAGCATTAAGCCCTCAAGGGTAGGGTGGCCCGAGCTGGACAAATAGCAGGAATTTTGCCAGATAGAATTTGCAATGTCAAACAAACTATGTTGGTTTTAGTTGGCTGAACTCCAGCTGGGGTCCCCAAAGCCTGGAATCTTGCCGACGTGTGGCTAATACATTCCAGAAAAAGGTAATCATGGGGGCATCCCTCTGAGGAACATATTTTATTCCAGACACACTGAAATTTCCACGCGTACACAGCCGACGTTTGTGGAATGTTCATTCTGGTTTGTATGGTGATAGGTTTCCATGTGTGCCAGACAAAATAAAAACATCTCCCAGTTCAGCTACAGCACAGTTAGATGCAGAAGGAAGCTTACCCCAACAATATGCCTCACCCCAAACGTGAGAGGAGCACCAGTACTATACATCACAGTGATATTCTTAACTTCTCATAACAGCCATCCTGTGAGCTCTTCAACTGAGATTGCCAAATTATTGCCAGTTCTAATGAGCCCATAATCCTGAGGGACAGGCTCAGAACTAGCAAAACTAATACTACATACCACCCATACAACCAACAAATGGACATCTTCAATCCACGTGTCTGAGCTGGTTCTGAATCTGAATCCTTGAGATGAGCTGGACCCCTCCCCACCCCCATCCCATCCCCTCCACCACCACATCCCTCCCCCAACCCATCCCCCACCCCATCCCTCTGTCTCCACCACCCCATCCCCTCCCCCACTCCATCCATCCCTTCCCCCGTCCACCACCCCATTCCTTCTCCGTGAAACCACCCCATCTCCAATCAATCCCTGTCCAATTCTCTGAAATCCTATGTCCTGAGAATGCTTTCTCTTAGGGCTTTGCGGGTTTGAGAACTCCAGGCAAATGGGAACTTAAGAACAAGACATGCTCACCGGTTGATCTGTAAGGTTGATCCCAATTAGGAAAAGCAACTCGGCCACAAAAAGGCTGATACAAAGGTTTTTGTGGATGGTGTTTCGATCACTTTGAAGTCCGTGAAAGAAACAAAAAGTGAAGATGCAGATCAGCAGGCAGACAAGTGATATCAGGATCCCGACCCAGGTAATAACCTCCAACAGCAGCTCATGGACAGGGTCACTAAGCTGGGAACACAATAAGAAAATGATCAGTCAACAGGCAAGTGTCAGTTAATCTATACAGGCCATGAGGCTGCCCTCGACTATAGCCCATCAGGAGAGTGTGTGCCAATTGATTATCAATCTGATGCCATCAGGCCTGTCTTGAGTTCAGGAAATCATTCTCAACAAATGATGCAGGCTCATGCGGTTTGTAACTTTTAACTAGCTTTCCTCACTGAAACAAGACACTGAACAAGTCAATTTACACACGGCGCGTTAGAAGGTCACGCCATAATGTCCAGGTGCCAATGATACATATCTAATCACATGACCACTGATGGACTAGAATCATAGTCGTTCAAAGTTTCCTATTCCACTTGTTCACTTCCTGCTCGTCTTTCTACACGGTTTCCAAACAGCACAACAATGATTTTGCTGATCTCCATGAGGTCAGTCGAAGTTAAAAAATGATTAAGCTCAACAGGTTTGTCTCAAACCATCGATTGAACTGGTTTCCACAATAACATTACATAATGTACCCCACAGTTATACCCCTCCCTTGTTGAATCAGAAAGTGAAGCATTGCACTCTTCAGAAAAAGAGTGGAATAAAGTCACTCTCCATCTATATTACAAAGGGCACACATGTGGACTTTACTGGTCTCTAAATACACTGATTTCTAAATATAGCTGTCCTTTTGCTACATACAATAATAATACTCCTTGCATTTGATATAGTGCCTTATCACATCTTCAAAATGTCTCAAAGCGCTTCACAGAATATTGTAAAGTGTAATGACTGTATATTTTGTGGACGAAATGCAGCAGCGTCCCACAAACAGTCGTGGATTGAAGTGACCACATTATTTTTTATATAATGTAAACCAATATCCTCATTATAAAAGTGTAGTGAACGTTTAGTGATCAGCACAATTAACTGACAGCTGGGGAAAAATTCTACCCGTGTCTAGATTAACTCTATTTATCTAGCGTATTAGAGTGACCAGAATTTGGTAACTTCCTAAATATATGCTTAATTTTGAAGCACACTGTCTATAAATCCTTTTCAGAACTAGTGAAAAAACAACTTCAAAGTCAGCATTCATCAAGTTGCCAAATTCTAAATGCTAAAAAAATTTAAGGCCCACAAATTTTTCATTTTGCCCATTGAAGAATTAATTATTATTTACATTATTTATTATCTTCTTCATAATTGGGAGGATCTGTCTACAATATATGATGCTAATATTTTCACACATAATCGTTAAATATTTTAATATACCATATGATCATCCACATACATATTATAAAGTAATATTCCCATTTCATTTTCAGAAAGAGTTAATCTTCTTATAATCCTCAAATCAAATCAAAAAACAGGAAAATTATTCAGTAGAATCTATTCATCAAGTCAAAAATAATTTAACTAAATTGAGTAATTTCGTTTTGGCTTTGAAAGTGCTTAGAAACATCCACCAACACAAACAGCACTGTAAAGTTGTTGTTGTATGCTTCTTTTTAAAGATAAAATCAATTTGACAAACTTGAATTCAGAGACTGTGCCCTTTAAATAAGAAAAGTGACATAGTGTAAACCCATCATGTCAATTTATCATTTATTGGATGCTTCCACATGTAATATTGCAGATATCAGAAGGACATCTCTAAAGATTATCATATGATTCACTGACTAGAGTATCAACTGTGTGTGCATATTTGTTGGCAAATTAGATGTTTGTTCATCTGGTTTCAATAGCTTTCTTGTAGATATGTAGATACCCCGGCACCTCCCTCCACAAGCTGCAGGTCATTCAGAACTCTGCAGCTCGTGTACTGTCCCGCACCAGGCTTCGGGACCACATCACTCCCACCCTCGCTCGCCTCCACTGGCTCCCCATCCCCCAGAGGATCGATTTCAAGATCCTCATCCTCACTTACAAGGCCATTCACGGCCTTGCTCCCTCCTACCTCTCCGACCTACTATTCCCCTACCTACCTGCCCGTACCCTCCATTCCTCTGGCTCCGGTCTGCTCCACATCCCCCGCCCCAACCGCCCTACCATCGGTGGCCGGGCCTTCAGCCTCTCAGCCCCCAGGCTCTGGAACTCTATCCCCCAGTGCCTTCGCCGCCTCCTCCCTTTCCTCCTTCAAGGCCGGTCTCAAGACCTTTCTCTTTGACCGTGCCTTCAGCTCCCCTCTCGACTCTCTACCACCTCCTCGCTCCCTCCCTTCCCTCCCCTCACCCTGACCATTGCCCCCTTGCTCGGGTCCTGACCCAACTGTACAGCGCCTTGGGACGTCCTCCCGACATGAAAGGCGCTCTATAAATGGAATCTTGTTGTTGTTGTTGTTGAGTGACGAAAATCAAGAAAAATGTTGCTTTATAACCTTTTGTTAGGAGTGTGAAATATAAAAGGTGCATTTTTAAAGGGATTTATCAAAATGGAATGTCGCAAATCCTTTCAGAGATAATTGCTGTCAAGTGTCGTGACTCTTTCTGTGGGCAAAACCATTTGTGCAGGGCAGGGTCCCATAAAACTATGAAATTAATACTCAGTTCATCTGGAGGGTGAGCTCCGACTGTCTCAGCACTCGAACGTCAGCAAAATCAACTTTGCTGTGGCTGGGCCAAACCCAAATTCCAAAATCTTGTTAAAGAGGATCTCAGGTTACAATACAGTAGTACCAATTTAATTGGAATGTTGCAAGTGCTGCAATCAGAACTTTAACAATAATTATTAATCTAAAGCAAACATAGCAGAAAAATGCAGTGCAGGAATACTTCCATATGTGGAAATCCTATGCTTAAGAGGATCTAGATCACAATTCAGAATTCCACATATGTATGCCACTTACATATAAAAAAGCTTTCTACGTCTGGAGGGACGTATCCTGCTTAGCCAAATCCAGAAAGTATTAGGTGCAGGTTGGCAAGAGACAAGGCTTGGGGTGCCCCAGAGTGTGTTACTGGGATAATGTGGGGGAAAAAAAACAAGAATTGGTCAAAAAAGGGACTTTACAGAATTTATTTATAAACTGCCAAATAAAAATTGGTCTCATACTTTAAAAGATGTGTTGCAAAAAGGGACATACATGATTAAAAGATAGGGCAAAAACACGTTAATATGGTCTGTATTTTTCTGTGCTACGGATTTAAAAATCAGTATCACACAGCTTGATGGATGGATAACTGCTCAGTCCTCAGTTTCTTATTGCATATGTAAGGCTCTTGCACTGACAACCTCAACCAACAACATGCATTTATGAGGTGCCATTCACATAAACGAACATCTCAAAGCATTTAAAGAGAGCAGAGGACCCTCAAACAAAATATCGGAAGAATTTAGAGGCAATGGAATGCAAGGACAAAATTTTTTTTAGGAGATTTCTGGAAACAGAAAGGCCTGGCAGTGAAACCCAAGTGTCTTCCAAAGAGAGAATAAGGTTGTTGTGCCTGACGGTCCTATAACGGTTTTCAGCAGAGGGAGAAAGCACAAGCAGCAGACCAAATACCGAATAGTAGATAGTTCAGGCTGAGACAAATGGCTGGAGATTACATAGCTGAGGTGAAGTGAGGCCTTTAGGACATTTGGAAATGAGGTCAGAATGAATCCAGATTGATGGGTATATTTCTTTGTAAAGAAGAAAACGTTAACATGGGTTCTGCCGAGCTGGTTGTTTATTTGGTGCCATTCTATTGTGCCGGATGTCGAACGACCAGGTAGTGACTATCCTCCTTGGGGTAAGAGGTGTCTTCTTGGAGCTGAACTGGCTCCAAGCTGACATGCTTGGCAATGGAATGTTGGAATCGAGGCAGCCCTCTGTGGCGGTCTGCAGTCCGGTTGCTGAGCCAGGCGGGTCCGCAGTATTCCAGGACAGCACAGCCAGCCTAGCTGATCGGCAGGACTTGGAAGGGCAGACCAGTCACTGGGGGCAGGGAGTAATCTCGCTCAGCTCCTGTTAACCCTGCAAGCCGAAGCTCTGGCAAGTCCGAGCTGGCCAAGCAGTGGGAAAGTTTGCCACAGTGATATCAATGGCAAGATATGTGTTTTATTGCAACCTACAGTCAAATAGGATGTTTAAATTTGCTTTACAAAGCAAACCAATTGCATTATGCCAATTTATAAAGCACTTGATATTGTAATATCTAATTAGACTCACTGATCAATCTAATTTTAGTCTTAGCTCTGAATTTTAATAACACAGTTTATGTTTAATTGAGATATTGGGGTAGAAATTCCACGTGAGTCTAGATTTACAAATTGTTGAATTCTGTTTTAACTTTGATGCCAGTTTTCTGTAGCTCTTCAAAGAATGTACAGAAAGCCAGATTAAAAATTAGGACTGAATTTAAGAATTTGCCCCACAAACAACCATGAAGTAAATTACCAATTTTATCTGGGGGATTGTTGACCAGGACATGAGAAACTCCGTTCTCTTTTCGAATTGTACCAGGGATTGCTTAACATCCATCTGAACAGGCAGATGGGTCCTCGGTTTAATGTCTCATCTCAGGTGGAGAGTAAGTGTAAGTCTACATTGTGATATTGTGTTTGTTTAGATATCATGCTAGCCTTATTCTCTTGGCCATTTATAGGACAATGCATGTTCAGTTGTTTTGCATTAACAAGCGGCTTAAGTAACTATCAGCAAACATGTTTAAATCCTAATCCATTGTAATCGGATCATCTGTAAACGGCAGATTGTTTGGAGCTGTGGTACGAGCTTCTCTCCAATATTATCCTCTCAAACTGGCTACTAATATCATCAGGACATCAACAAGCTTGTCCACAACAGGATATAGGGATTGCTGCCAACTTCTGCAATGCTACTCAATCACAGCAGTCGAAGAAAATGTAGCAGAACCCAAAGAGCAATCTGCTTCTCCAACCAAGAGAACAAATACACAGCAAGTTATACTCTGGCCAACTGCAAGTTTAATTTTTTGGCAGGCCATGATGTATACAGGAGGCAAAGCTGTAACAATAACTGATCAGGGCAACAGCTGCACAATTTGCACTGAAAACAGCTTTGATCCGTAGAAACATGGCCGGATTTTTGCCACTGCTGGGAACCTCAACTGAAATTAGTTTTGCTACCCAGATGATCCTAGACAAAGTGATGAGCTGCTTAAGGTCACCTTCATTGAGTCTTTGGAAGAAGAAATTGCATTTTCATAGCACTTTATCGTATCGAAACAATTCATTGCACTTCACAAGCAATTACTGTCAAGTGTAATTACTGGTTTTGTAGGGAATCACAGCATCACTTGTAACCAGCAAAGTCCCACAAACAGCTACAAGGTAAACTACCAACCTATTGGAAGATTGTTGGCCAAGACATGGGAAGAAATTCCCTCATCCTTTCGGACAGCATCATTTATAGCATTTTAACTTAGACCTTAACAGGCAGATCACACATCTCTAAAAAAAATTGTTTCCGACCATATTACCTTACTGTTAAACTTCATTTTCTAGTAGAGTAATATTCCTTGCATTTAACATAGTGCCTTATCATGTCTTTGAGACGTTTCAAAGTGCTTCACAGAATATAATGCAGTAAGATAATATTTGCTGTGTTTTGTATTTATGACGGCTTTAAGGAGCCATCAATGTCCCAGTAAAGAAAGGGACTGAAAACAATCTTATCCTCTTAGGATTCTGATCAGATTTCAGTGAACAGGAGCTAGCCAACTATTGAGAGCTTTGTGTTGTGCACAATGGTCCTCAGGGAGTAGAAATAAAGTAGAGACCATGACTAAACCTGCCAGCATCTCCATCACTTATGACCCCTAAAATCTTTCAGCCACTGTGGATTCTACTAGGCTGTCATTTGACACAATTTTAACTGAGTTCTCCCGGGACAGGACGTGGCGACCCGAGCAACTAACACATCTTCAGAGCGAGACAAGACAGATTGGAGCAGGGCAGGCTTGGCCAATTTAATAATAATAATAATCCTTGCATTTTATATAGCGCTTCTCATGTCGGGAGGATGTCCCAAAGCGCTTCACAGAACACACTGTAAAGTGAATTGACTGTATATTTGTGGGCCAACGTGTCAGCCAATCGCACACAGCAATGTCCCACAAACAGTCGTAGATTGAAAATGACCAATTTATTATTGATTTTGATTTTTTTGGAGGGATTATTATTAGTCGTGTGGAGTAAGGAAACTTGCCCAAGATTTTGCCCTGCCGGGAATTGAACTCAGGTCTCTCGCTTGCAAAGCGAGTGCTCTAACCACTGAGCTACAGGACTCCAATTTAAAAAGAAATGTTAAAGGGGAAGTGACTATACCTCAACACTTGTCAGCAGTTTACTGAAGCACAGTACGAAGTGTTCTCAACCGTAACTGCAAACAAATCCAACCTGATCATGAAAGTCGAATGATTTTAGGCACACAATCCAGATATGGCATTGGACTTCCCTTATTTCTCTATGCAATATGGTGGGGTAACTAGCAGAATGTTATCCCATGACTAAGAAATAAACCTGTGTCATTTGATAAGTTTTTAAAAGCAAAGACTTTTCCTGCATCTTAAATCTGTCTGTGACTAAAAGCAAGATAACTTTTCATTAGTTCATAGGGTCAAGGGAGAATTGAATGTAATCCTGGTGAAAGAAAAATGTGAGGGATTAGTGAGATAATGTGATAAGGTATTCATTAAAAATCATAAAAGGAGGAGCTTAATGGATTTCTATTGTCCTCACAAATTCTAATGTTCTTCATAAGTTTTAACAATAACAAGCTAAACAATGGCACAAAGTGCACTGTAATATTTAACTTACTTCCTCGAAATACTGTTTTTCTCTAAAAGTTAGAAGATCCAACACTCTGTGCCCTCGTCTCACAATGATTAATAGCAAATTAATTAGAGCCTCAGCCTGGCTCAGTTAGTAGCACACTCGCCTGAGTCACAAGGTTGTGGGTTCAAGCCCCATGTTGGGACTTTAAGCTCATTGTCTAGGCTGACATACCGATACTGTGCTGGAGGAATACTGCATCATCGGAAGTGCCTGAAACAGTGGTGGAAGTCGATTCGATAACAACTTTTAAGAGAGAAGTAGATAATTATTTGGGGAGGACAAGTTTGCAGATCTATGGGGAGAGCGCGGAGGAGTGGGATTGATTTGTTCTTTTCAAAGAGCTGGCACAGACACGATGGGCTGAATGGCCTCCTTCCGTGCTGTATAGTTCTATGATTCTATGAAGTGCCATCCTTTGCTTGCCTGGCTAACAATCCTCCAGATAAAATAATTTTATGGCCATTTAATGAATAACCATAAAGTAATTTTGTTTAGCTGGAATATCATTATGGCAGTTTATGGAACATTATAGTATGCAAATCGGCTGTTGGCTGGGTCTACAAATACACAGTCACTACACTTTACAAGAAAAATCTGGTGATGTGTGCTGAGACCTTGTGGTGTCCTGATAAAACACTAAACTGCAAGGATTATTATGTTGAGTGGTAGAAGAACAGAGAGAAAAACTGAAAATACCAAGAGAACGTTAAATAAACGGGTTGACTAGATGAGCAATATATGTTATTGAAATAAAGGAACACATCATTTTCTATGAATATCTTTTTCTGGGTTGGAATGATACGGAGCAATATAGCTGACAAGCGGGAAAAGAAGAAGAGATAAAATTCAGAATAATGAAAGCACAACTGCGCTTCACAGTACATGGTGCTTTAGAGCTTTGGTCTGCAGGGTTGAAGGCATTCCTGCACCTGCAAATTACACAGATGAAAAAGACAGTCAAAACAATGTCTTGTATTATGGTGGACTTGTCTGAAATTACTTGGTGTATGTCCTCAGAAATAGTTTAATTCTGAGGACTTTTTAGACAAGGTATTTTCCTACCTCAAAATTAACAGAACTCACGAGTTCAAGAGATTGATGATGGTATGAGAACGCAAGGCCAGGGCAGATTTGCTGGCCAGCACAGAAAAGAATTAAAGGGCAACACCCGGATGAGGTTTGCCTTATCTGAACAGAGGCCTAATCAGTTGAATGTATGGGGTGTAGTTAAATGAAAATATTTTGCTTAATCAAAAAAAGTGAAAAAAAAGCTCCTTTTTTAACAATATCAAGTTATGCTGTAAATCTTGTTTGCTGATCACAATATATTCCAAGGCACACATGTTTTGTGTTATGTGTGAATGATGGCATAGGCACAGCCTTAGTCTGTGGGATTTACAAAATTTCACACAGCACATTCATATTTCCCACTAAATGTCGGGAAGGAGAGAGGTTTAAGACAGATTGTGAACTTTACTTTCCACCTAAATTCTGTGAGAATCAAATGTCACTGGTGTTAGATTACAACCCAATAATGTGAAGACTCCAAGTAAATCTAAACAAGCGAGCCAAACCTTTGGAATGACTAGGGTAAATTCCACACATGTCACAATGTTTAATCCGATCATGGAAAAGAGGAAAATATGTAGTCATGGACATGCATAATCATTTGCAACTACAATGTATTATTCTACACTTACATATTTTGTTTCACCCACAAAATATACAGTCAATTCACTTTACCATATATCCTGTGAAGCGTTTTGAGACATCCTTCTGATGCGATAAGGCACCATATCAAATGTGAGGATTAAGTTTTTATTATTATATAGCGCTTTTTATGTCAGGAGGGCATCTTAACATGCTTTACACTGCTGCCTGGGGACCAGAGCTAAGGGGGAGGGTGAAGAGGGTGGGAAGAGGAATAATATAACCAAGAGCATGGTAAAAAAATAAGTCTTTTAAAATGTACATTGACGTACTTCGGGGCAATTATCCTTGTAACTTGCACTCCCCACCCAAAAAAAAGTTAATACAGCATACATGAAAGTGAATGCTACATTTTGGTAGTGGCACTTAATTTGCTCTAGTTTTACTTGTTTTCTTCGCTAAATTAGGTGGTGCATTCCCACGATACATTGTTACATTGTCAGATGCTAAATAGGTTTCTCCATTGAGCTTGACTGAACAATCAGGAAAAAANGTGGCATCTGGAACCAGTTGAGTTTAGCTCCACTGTGTCAATGAAAGAGCCATTTGACTTCGGCAGCAGACAAGCCTCAAGGTGTGGGGTGAATAGGCCATATTGCGTCGCTAATCCTTACCTTCACATCTTTGTGGGCCATGAGGACGGCAAAGTTGGTGAGATGATTGCAGGAGCAGGTAGTGTGTGTCTTATTGCTGCCTAGCTTTCGGCAGCCCTGTGTGGACCAGTATCCCGTCATTGTGTGCTTTGAGTAGCTCCAGAAGGAACAGTTTGGGTTGAAGTTATTCTTGAGCTGAAACAAAAAGATAGAAAGATTCTGACAAAAGCCCTGGCAACTGGACCATCTCTTGTTCCCTGTCACCCCACCAGATCTCTGGTCACAATCACTTCAGTCAGAAATCAATCTGTTGCACATCACATTTTTTGCGTAGAAGATATAAAACTCAGATTATAACCAATGTCAAATTTGTCTTGGATTTTGATTAATTTGAACTCATGACTAAAATCATCTCTTGAAACAAACATCTGCTTTATTTGCATTGCTGACCATGCAATTGAATGAACCTTGCCATCATCCCATCGTGGAATCCTGAAGCTCAGTGGTTAGAGAACTCGCCTCACAAGTGAGAGACTTGGGTTCGATTCCCGGCAGAGCAAAATGCTGGGCAAGTTTCCTTACTCCACACTCCTTTGTTTACCTAGCAGTAAGTAGGAACCCGGTTGGTATTTGTTTGGTGAATCGCTTTTCTGGGGGTATAAATTCCTTGTAAAAAATTATGTATATATATATCGAACAGTAAAATGCCAATGTTCAATGTAGGTGGGGGTGGCAAGGCAGTCACCCTGCTACATCCCCACGTCTGCAGATGATGTCACCAAGTGGAGGCATGTAAATATCGAAGAAGAAAGGACCAAAGAGAGAGCCCTGAGCCCCAGTGTGCATTTACACAGCTACTTTCATGCCAAGAGGATGTCTCAGATCCATTATAATTGATCACCAGTTCCAATTCAGAAATAGCTGGCATTTTAAGCCAAGATTTGAAAAATATCACTGTCCAGCATTAAAGTGAATTTTTAATGTGGTTGTTGAACTTTTGGAAACGGATGATAAACTAACATCCTCATTGGAGTGATAGCTCTCTAAACCTCTAGATATCAATTTATAAGCTTTTATGTTCAGCCATTCTCATGCCCCATACTGTTTCGCAAATCAATGAGCTCGCTGTTGATAAAGCCGCCTGCAATGAGCTGTTAAGGTGGTTATAGCAAGGTCCCTCAGTCCATCTGATAGCAGCACAAAATTTAGACATGCTACCCATGGGAATCCAAAGGGTAAACTGAGCCTGATCATTGCACAATACATCACGTGCATGCTCCATTGGACTGGGTACTTGAGTTTAAATCATAGCTAAAAGCAAACAATCGAACAGGAACAATAACAACTTGCATTTATATAGTGACCTTCACCTAGGATAACAAATGAGCATTTCACAAGGACAGACATAAACGATCAAGGTAGAGGGGGGAGGCAGATGCTATAGGCACATTCAAAGGGATAAGATTTTAGATGAGACTTAAAGACCAAAACGGGGCAAGGGGATAGAGGAAGGGAGTTTCAAAGGTTAAGAGTGAAAGCTCTGTCACTGAGAGTTGCGTGGAGAGGCAGGGGACATGCAGCAAGCCTGAGTTTGCTGAGCGCAAGGGGTAGTGTAGGGTGGAAGATCGGGGAGATAAGAGATGGTAGGAAGTAGATGGATTTATAGGCAAGGGTGAGGACCCTGAAACTGATCCATTGGGAGACAGTGAACTGTCGAGGACTAGGCTGATGGATGCATGGAATTTGGTGAGGCTGAGGTTGCAGTTCAACAGAAGTGCATTGTATAATGGTGCATAAATAAAAGCCAACAGAGAGATTAATATGAGATAGCTGCTGAATTAATGGAATGAAAATAAGTCACATTAGCGGCAACTGAAGGGATTTATGAAAAGGAAAGGTGCAATTAAACTATTTGGTAAATAAGCCATGCATATTGGGAGTTTATTTGTGTTATGTATTTCTCTCCAATGTTATTAAAGTAATGTAGGTGTGTTAATATTTGTGACACTGCCGTGCGCAAATGGCTGCCGCGTTTCACCCACAAAATGTACAGTCAATTCACTTTACAGTATATTCTGTGAAGCGCTTTGAGATGTCTCGACGACATGAAAAAATGCAATATCAAATCCAACAATTATTATTATTGCTAAAATAGTCATTGGAACTGAATTACATAACACCTCACCCTTCTCAAGTTTCCATATTAAGCCCCTGTTTATTCTACAAAACACAAAATACTGCAGATGCTGGAATCTGAAACAGAAACAGAGAGGGCTGGGAAAACTTAGCAGGTCAGGCAGCATCTATAGAGAAAGGAAAGTGAGTCAATGTTTCGGGTCCACAACCCTTCGTCAGAACGCCATGAACCCGAAACATTGACTCACTTTCCTTTCTCTATAGATGCTGCCTGATCTGCTGAGTTTTCCCAGCCTTCTCTGTTTTCGTCCCTTTTCATTCTACTTATTTACCTTGCAACATGCTGAATTTTTAATAAGCATTTCTTTACAAGTGACTGTTCAATCCAACAGCGATTTTACTTTCAGTTCCCCAAGTGCCAACCGCAGAAATGGCTGCGTCCCTTTACAACTCTGCTACTTCCCAGAGAGTCTGTAGAAAGCGTCTCAACAAAGTTTAGACATCTAAAGGGATATTATATTATTTAAAGTATGCCTTTTGGCACAAATCAGTGCACACAATTTATTGCATCTTCATGCCAGTTCCCTTTTTNGTTGTGTACAAATATTAACACACCTGGAATCCTCTGGAGAATATAATACAATTGACATTTATGTAGGCATTTCATGCCATGAGGAAACTTCAAAGCGTCTAGTTTACACTGCTGGCTGGGCACCCGAGCTGTGGGTGGGAGTGAAGCGGGGGTGGAGACAGGAAAGTGCGAACAAAGAGGTAGATTTTGAGCCAGGTAGAATGGCTGAAAGTCCGTCCTCCCAACGGTCAAGAGGACACAGGCAGGACAGTTTTCACTGTGGGAACAGCAGGTTGTCAAAGATACACCAAAACAGTCCAACAAATAGTGCAAAAATTATTTAAAAAATGCTCTCATGAGAATTCCGCTGTAGGTTTTCTAATCATTCCATTATATTGCAGTGTGTTCTGAAATGAGGGTTGTTCAGAATGACTGGTTTACTCTCCAGAGAGAAAAAAACAGGAGTTTGTTTAATTTGCGCGTTGAGTTTAAGACATCTGCAAAAGCCTGTGGTTGTGCTAAATTTGCGGCTGGGTTAATCACGTGCAAACAATCTCTGTAAAAGATTCAATAATGACCTGGATTGCTCCGCATTGCCTGAATATTACATAAGTCATCACATAAGTTTTGCCCACAAAATATACAGTCAATTCATTTTACAGTATGTTTTGTGAAGGGCTTTGAGAAATTTCAAAGACGTGATAAGGCGCTATATCAAATACAAGGATTATTATTATTATTATAAGTCCCGCTGTATGCATATACTTTTGTTGGCCCAATTTGCAAATTAAACCCTTATAAACAACACCCTGTACAACAAGATTTCCATACTCACGTCAGCATGTTTTAAGGTAAAAACCACAGGATCATTCAAGTAGATTCGATTGCTTTCTTTGTTGATTGCTGCACTGACAACTTGGGAATTGACTATAAGAGTGTGATTGGTGGACATGGCCTCACTTCCCAGCTTGAAGCTGGCATTCTCAGTGGAGAGATAGGTGCCCAGATTGTTGTAGAGGACGAAGGCAACTCTTATCTCACCTGCAACAAAGGGAAAAACCCTGCGATCATTTTTTAAAGAAATGCACTTCGAAGATTCACAATGTAGTATCCATCAGGCCAGCCTGTTTATCATAGCCTGTTTAAGGGGGATGCGGGGCAGAGTACCTTGTACTGAAAGTATTTCCATGAATGTTACTTCCCTTTTAATAATTCTTAGAAGTTTGAAGTGAATAATTTTTACAGATTTTTTCAGTGCGCACATTAATCTTTTGATACACTCCGAAAAATTCAGTGCACAGGCTCCGATTACACAGTAGACAGAGGAATCCTGATAAATGAAGGTTAATATTTTGAACACTGTCATGCAGTGTTTAACGGGTTACGAAACAGACCCATGACAACAATGGTGGTGGGATTGACATCAAATTATCATGACAGTGCCACTACAGAATAAATTCAGATCCCTTCCTCAATACAAGGAGACTTGGGTCAGTATTATCAGGTGAATATTACTTCAGAAAAATGGATCAAATCATAGGGAAGCTATTGTACAAGATTAATCTGAACCATTTTGCATTTCTTTCATCCATAATCCCTCTTATGCTACTTCATAGTCAATTAACTTTACAGTATATTCTGTCAAGCGCTTTGAGACGTTTCGAAAACGTGATAAGGCGCTATATCAAATGCAAGGATTGTTATTATTTCCTCACTCGTTTTCAGATTTATACAGTACAAATACTTGACAAAGTATTTGCAAAAGGATCTCTCGGCAATGCAGCAAATGATGTTCAAAAATATCGGCAAATATATTATGATGTAGCTGCACTTGGTTTAGTTTACACTTGGATATCATATTCAACATTTCGTGCAGTAAAATGCGGCTTGTTACATACAATTTGTAAAACTTGTAGCGTTCGCTTTGCAAGCGAGAGAACGCGGATTTCATTCCCGGGCAGGGCTATACCTTATCAAGTCTCCTTACTCCACATGCCTCTGTTTATCTAGAAGGGAGAAGCAACCTGGTTGTTAGTCGATTTCCGGGGGTAATGATCCCTTTAAAAAAAAGGTCACTCAATCCACAACTGCTTGTGGGAAACTGCTGTGTGCAATTGGCTGCCATGTTTCACCTAAGAGTGTAGGGTGGGAGCCATGGTAGGAGAAGTGACTGATGAAGGAGGTATGTGGGGTGGTAGGTGACATTGGGTGGGGGGAGGGTGTACAGCTGGGCGGATGTTATCTATCTTAAAGTAGTCCAGGACCTCCAAGCACTTGGCATCAGAAGTGAGGATTGAGGGTGCTAGAGAGGAGGCATGGAGGAGGTGGTGGGTGGTGGAGAACAGGATTTTGGGGTTGTTTTCAGCCTCGAGAATGACCTATGAGTAGAAAAAGCAGGTTGGCTATTGTGATTGAGAAAATGTTCCAAATAAAGACTGCTATATTATCACAATTCTCTTGACAGCAACGTACAGCTTGACCTCAAGATTACCAAGAGTTCATCTCTAATGCAGTTTTGATCTCTGCAGAATATGGTCCACCAGTGGAATAGCCATCCTGTTAACCGGAGGTACTTACTGGCCGGATATACTTTTTTTCCAGTATACCTCATTAATCCTCATTTATAAAATGCTTGAGGAATATATTTTGTTGCTCCTCTTAGCTTTGTTCTAGTGTTGTATTACTGTTGTCAAACAAAGGCTGGAATGTCCTGTGGCTCGTCTATACTAGTGTGGAGTTGGCAGAGAAACAACAATAGAATAAACATGGGTTTCCTCAAGGATCATTGACCAACAAACTATGAGATTCATCCAACTTGATCAAGACTGATACAAATTGTCATATCTTCACCCAAGGACTCGCTAGAACTAATTTAAAGTTCTGCACAATCTGCAGATTTCATGCTGAAACAATGTTTATTTTCCCCCAAAGAGGCCCCTCTACCTTCAGGTAGAGGATGTAAACTATATCAAGCCAGCCTCTGTCAGCAGCAAAACATATGTTGAATAAGAACTTCAGACCCATTTAGAACTATTATCATTAACCTGAGAAACTGGAGAACTGATGCCAGTCATTCCTAAATGTTCTTCAGAACATTGGGAAAGGCCTGAGTCAACTGTTTACTTTCTTCAGAGCACCATTAGCCAAATGTCCAGGATACCACACAATCAAAACATCCAGGACCATTTTTGACACCAAGATTTGAAGGAAGATGTGTGTTGTGAAGGAAGAGGCCATTTTCTTTGCCTACAGATCTTTTGCTGGCCTTTGACTTTGTAGTGTTGCGTGCTGCTTTGAAGTCCTAAAGTCCCCACAATCTTAGCCTTATTTTATCATTGTTCAAACTTTTGGAAAATTCATATTAATTCAGCTTTAATTTGAAAGCCAATTTGTTTTAAGAAAACTGGCACTTAGATTAATACTTAAATTGAGAATCATAAATCTAAGACCGTGCTGTTAAGCTAAAACCGTGAAGGATTTTGACCTTCCGGAATCTATTGTATTCTGATTCTTACTTTGGAAGGGGAACTATATTGTCTTCAAGGATCACTTGTTTGCCCTTCATTCTTTGAAGGGAAACGTGAGATGTACTCTTCCATATTCTGAGGGAGACACCAAAAGACAGACACCAACGATGCTTCTGACGTCATAAACACAAGATCCACATTCCAGCCAAAAAACAGTCAGACGGAAGTCAACAGTGAAATTACTTTGTCCAAAGTGGTGATGCTTCACAAATAGAAACCAGATAATCCTAGGATAGAAAATGTTCATTGCTTTGTTTCATTAGGTTTCATAAGAGAAAACAGAGCGGATGAACCAAAAAAATTAGATCTATACATTTAATCTATCATTGAAAGGGGCAGAGATAAACAACATTGAACATTTCACAATCAAGAAATGTCTAACTGCTCCAAGGCATCTGCCAGTAGTGCTATGTTACCAGCCCCTGAATATGGGATTGGTTCAGTTTATTTCCTTCTCCCTCTCAGTGACCATTGTCTCCTTAGCCCGACCATATGAGAACAGGTACAAACACACACGCATCTTGCTGCTCTGTAGCCTTCTATATAATATTTAACATCAGGACATCTCAACTTACCATTGCGGCCATACCGTTTCAGGGTGCTTGCCGAAAGCGTTATCGAGTTCTCATTTATTCCACTCTGTGGAAACTTCAGGTCTTCTAATGTTCCATCTGTACTCAAGCGGGCAACCTCCAGCACTATTACCCCAAAAAACAAAAACAAACTGGTGACATCCAAACACTTTGTGGGTCACTGTTCTGTCTTTCTGTATTCGAGCATCCTATATGCCTTAACGGTCTTTGAAGAATTACCCGTATTTAATCTTGCAACTGAACAACAACCTGCATTTATATCGCGCCCTTCACGTGAGGTAGCGTCCTGGAGCACTGCAAACTTCAATTGCTGTCACAAATTTTGAAATGCACTCATATGCCCTCTTCAAGTCAGGCACTTACCAGTCAATTTCCATTGAAAGTAGAAAAGATGACAATACAGCCACTACGGCAAAGAATGCTGCTATGATTATTATTTGGATATATCTCAAAGTGGAGGGGGATGTGAAGCAAGGTGCTGTACACATTGTTAGCCATTCTGCTTGGGCCAACCTTTCAATTCATCCTTTCATGATGAGCATCCGCATGGCAATCCAACAGCTGCACTCAAACTCTGTGATCTCCTGGTGAGGGTATATATCAAGCACTCAACTTCTTTGATGTTCTCCAGAGTCTCCTGTATTACTTATTTTATGGGGATTTGGATTTAGATCATCAAATATATTTCAAATCTAATGATTTAATTAATCACTCACTAATGGCGTTATAATTCTGAAGAAAATTAAAGTTTAAGAATTCATGACTAGTTCCAGCAATTTGCGGCCCACAAAATATACACATGACAGTATATCCTGTGAAGCTCTTTGAGACGTCTGGAAGATGTGATAAGGTACCATATCAAATGTAAAGATTATATTAGAACGTAGCAAGCCTAAATCCTTATACAGTGAATTTTGTTTTTAAATCTCCATGCACAATAATTTCCCTCTCTCTCTCCCAAATGTTTATTATGGAAAATGCACTTTTCTATCTCTGAATGCCTCATGACTGCCTGCTCTAATGATGCACATTGTGCCTGGCAATGAGATAATAAAAAATAATAAAGGATCTCAGTTAAGCTTAAACATGTTAAGGATTCAGTTCCATCAACTCTGTTCAGGCTCCGTAAGTTGAGTTCTATGGACAATGCTAACAGTTTTAGGAGGTCAACATGATGTACTTAGAAAAGTTGTACCAGCCTCTTCTCTCAATGTGTTTCAGAATTTGAACAAAACTAAACTGAAGACAATTTCTACTTGTGGTTGAAGCCTTTCTATGTTACTGATGATAATTTAGTTTGTTTTTACTAAGAATTGAGCTTTCATGTACTTAATTTATATATTATTCATTTGCTAACTCTCTGAGGACTGAACCAATGTAGGATAGACTCTTGACGAGTGCATTGCCACTATAAAGAGATTCAATCCCTTGTGATTTTACTTGTTTTAACTGTCATCTTGCTTCAGCCTTCACTTTCTGATTTAATCCAGTCAGTTTTCACTTTTCAACACATAGAATGTTTCCGAATTATAGCAACACCCGAGAACGAGCTGACTTGTTTCAAATCCACAGGTTAAAAGGAATGGAGCCAAGATGTAGAATGAATTTCAATACCTAAAAATTAATTGTTTCCTTCTCAAATACGATTAACGTGGAATGGACGACTTTCGCATCAAACTGGCTCCCCATCACTGAACGGATCGACTTCAAGATCCTCACACTCCCTTCACTCAAATCCTTTAATTCCCTGGCACCTCCCTACCTCTCCGACCTCCTCACTCCCCAATCCACCTGGCACCTCCGCTCGACTGGCACTGGCCTCCTGCTCATCCTTTGCACCCTCCTCCCCACCATTGGAGGTCACGCTTTCAGCCACTAACCCGCAAAACTCTGGACCACTTTCCCTCAATCTCTTTGCCTTGCCCCCACTCTCTCCTTTTTCAAGTCCTACCTGCAAACCTTCCTTTTTGACGATGTTTATGGTCACCTGCCCTGCCCCCACCCCCACATGGATTTAGGCTCTGCTACTGTTGAGCGCTCTGAGACACTACCCTGCGTGGAGGGCATTATATAAGTGCAATTTAAGTGCAAGTTGTTGTTGAACTGCCCTCCACTCACATATGTTCTCGTTGTTTTCTCGGACGATGTCTGTTTTGAGCAGATTGTCAGCCAGGACAAAGGCGCCCTGCTCCACCGTATGAAGCAACATTGTGGCTGCCCGCAGTTGGTCATTTGTCATCAGGTCCTGCCATGCGTCCAGGGCTTGTGGCTGCAGAAGGTTGTTCACTGTCTCCACCATCGCCTACGCACCACAAAAATACAACAGGTCTGTTTTTTAATGTTTGCATACCTTGCACTTAGCAAAGACTTCCAAAGGAAAATTCATGTCATGGCCCCCCAGCACTAGGCCAGTACATCAAGTTAGAACACTGAGTGCAGATTGGGCACTTGTTACAAGGAAGGATGGATGTTCATCTCCAGGATTCTTTTGGGCATCTCCAAAGTGATCAATTCATAGCACCCATCTTGTTACAGTATTAAGCCATGTTTTATTAGTATGTAAAGAGACAAAGCTCTTTACACTGTACCCAATTTACTGTAAGCTGGACATTTTGTCATCTTTCCCTGTTGGTTGAATAGAGGTATTCATTCAAACAATCTTCCTGTGGGAAACATTGCCATAGGATTAAAAAGGTGCAGCACTCGTAAGCTCAGCCAAATATTACAAACCCAAGTAGGTTAGGGAAAAGGGACATCGTCTCTTACGATTTTAAAAAATGTCCTCAAATACAGGACAAGATTCTGGTGCAAAAAAAATATAGTCATTGTAGTGACTAAGTCATCAAATAAATGATACAGAATTCAACTCAGCTTGCTCTCAGTAATGGGTCACCAATTCTACTGCTACCATTCGTCAAAAGTTACAGCCAGCCAGGTCTGCAGGAAATAACCTGTGAAGTTGAACGTTTTGCTATAAACTGGGATGGGATAGCTTTAATGAATGAAATAGATTTCATGTCAACCATTCAACCCAAATGTTGTTCACAATGAATGAATGAATGAATGAATGAATGAATGAATGAATGAATGAAGGAGGGTGCGTATGCGTGCGAAAAGCGCATCTTGAGATTGCAATCCTAAAGTCATACAAAATAACTCTCAATTAGCAGTGGCACGTGACTCCATTCATAACAATTCAAATTGAATCCTCTCCTTCTTCCACGTTTTGTATAATCACAGTGCTTTTGTGCCAAAATTAAAGATGTCAACTGATCCACTTGTTTTCCAAACTCAACACGTGAAGCCCAGATGTTAATGTTCATTTTGCACAAAATACCACAGCACGAAATGCTTAACATCAAAAAATCCTTTACCACGACAAGCCATTTTTAGAGGGAAAAGGAGCAAGTGATGTTCAAAACCACAGTGATGTTTTTCAGAGGTCCAATATGCCTGTTTCTTTAACCTGAAAATAATCTGTTTGTTCATAAGCCTGAAATTCATTTGAAGAGACATGAATATTTTTCTGTACATGCTGTTTGAGACACAGCGTGTTTATAGATAAACTGACAGAGTAATTTAGATCAATGCTTGAGAATTATGCATTGCAGGGTTAAGAAACAAGTATTAATACTATTGTCTACCAGCTTATGACAGACCAAAATAGGATTCATGCAAATTTGGGTTGAATGGTTGACATGAAATCTATTTTTTGGTGGTGATGATTGTTTCTTCAAAAATGGCTTGAAGAAGCAGCCCACAATTGAAAGATTCACTTTGCATCTGAGAACAGTGTGTATTTTATGTCTCCTTCATGCCATTTCATCCACTGGTCGGGTGCATTAAAAAATAATCACATTTTACTAAGTTTGATGACACGCCCTTCAAAAAATCCTCAAAAAAAGCAATGCAAATTTGTTTTGCACCATTAGTCAAAGTCATATTACCTATAACTTAACTATTTTTTATCCTGGCAAGTCATTTTACATATCATTGCACACAATAACCTCACCAACATTCACATGGACAAGGAACCTGCTATTTCTTCTCTCAAATAAAGGACATGTGGGCAAAACACAGTCCTAGTTGAACAATCTAGCATAATATTCATATGCGTTTGCAAACACGGGATGCCAACTAATTGCTCTTGAGCACCCTCACAATGGAATGTGCTCCATGGTTTAAGTCTGGGCTGTAGCTTTTCATGGTAAAAACAGTGATTGAGTACTATCGATGAACTTAGCCTGTATTTCTCTGGGAAATGAGAATAGACTGGTCAACTGAAAAGCATCACTTCTATTTATCCAATTCAAAATTATTTGAAATATTAGGAAAAGGTCAAGAGAAATCCTAAATTTGACTTGCCTCACCCAAATTGTATGAAATTCTCTGAGTTTGCACCCAATAGCTAAATTGATGGGGAAACAAAAAACAAACATTACTCAATAACTGGTATGTGGCAAGTTAACTTAGCCAAGGCATGTTGTAATTGGCCTCACCAATCCTGAGCTAGTGAGAGCTATAATCTGCCAAAGTTGCCACCTCGTCTTGGCTACTGGAAACACACATGAATATCATGGTCATCAAGCAAGAGCAGGATCTGGCACATTTGTGATGACCAACCAGTAGGTCAATAACTCGCCTCATATATAATTTGGATGAGGTACCAGATACAATACAAAATTACATTTGTATAGCGACTTTCACTTCAGGAGGACGTCCCAAGGCGTTGGAAAGTCAGGGATTTGGACCCAGCGGTGGGGATTTGGGATCAGGGAGGGAGGAGGACAGGAGGTTGGCTGAAGAGAAGGGTCTTGGGACGGACTTTGAAGGAGGCAAGGGAGGGAGGGAAGGGAAGGGAATGTGGGATGGAGTTGCAAAAAGTAGGGGCAGAGAGACTTAAGGCTTGATCAATGATGGTGGGGAGGGCGGGGACGTGGAGCAGGACGCAACCTGCTGAGTGGAGGGAGCGGACAGGTTGATACTGGACAGTTTCTAATATTGATAGATATCAGAACAGGTGAGCATTTTGAGAAAAGTCATTTAAAAAATGGTGTAGTAGAAAGTCATTTTAAAAAAAAAACTTCTCAACCTTGGAGGTATTACTTTTAGTTTTAAAAAGCTCATAAGGTTCGACATACAATTTGGATCTGGGTAAAAACATGAATGGTGACCATGCATTTATAAAAATATATAATAATAATCCTTCCATTTGATATAGCGCCTTATCACTTCTTTGAGATGTCTGAAAGCGTTTTTGTCTTCATAAGCATGCAAAAATTAGGACTGGTGGAGGACTGGGAACATGCCAGTCACATACCACCTCTTGAAAGGGCTTGGAAGAGAAAACAACAAAGTGCCGGGTGAAGGGCTGAGATCTGTAGCTTGCAAAGGAACAATTCTGATAAAGAAAAAAACATTTCTCAAAGATGTGCCATTCAAGGTTTGCCTATCAGAATATCAATGGCATTCAATGACGACTAAACCAGTCTCTTTTAGTCATTCAGTGGTTGGCCAATAAGGACATTTTATGAAAACTTATTCTAGGATAAGAAAGGCTCATTCTAGGACAGGCAAAGGAAACTCAAAACATGGCTGAAATCAGTCAATTCACCCTCTCACTGCAGACGAACACCCAGAAAATGTTCTCTCCAGTTTGTTTCCAAACTGTAAAGTACTGGACAAACAGGTAGTGATTCAAACAGGCAGGTCTCAAGCATGGTTTGCCAATTCACTCCAACCAGCCTAACAAGGGCGTCAAGCCACGTAGCCCTTCCACAGTCAAAAAGGCAAAGTTAATTAGGAAGTTCAGAAAGTTGTTTGTCACAGACCATGGAACTGTTTGACAAACAGCCAATTCAGCGGCAGAACAAGGGAAACAACATCTTCATCTGTTTGCCTTTCATTTGGCATTAAAAAGATTTCTGTTCAGTCTCCTTTGTCAAGAAAATGGCAGTCACAGCAACTTATTTACAACCTCTTACACAATTAGCTAAAGCTTTATTACCTGCCTCAATAAATAACCAGGAGAATCGCTTACGAGTTTACAATCTGTGTACGAGATTTGAAATACGGCTGATTAAAACAAGAGCAATTTTGAAATGACAGAAATTGATGGGCTTCAGAATATATACACACTATTATTATTAATAGAATAACAAAATATTTCAATTTCAATTCAAATTGCTGACTAAATCGAAATACTGTCTCTGGATAACAATATTTGACTAGATACTCTTCATTAGTTTAACCTTTTGGATTTAATGAATAGAAAGTTGAACATCGAAAGGATTTCCTCCCCTTGTCCAATGAAGAGTTCAGCTGGTTGCTTATTAAGTGCCGTTTTCTAAAATGGTTACACAACATAATGATAGCATAGGTGAGCTAAAGCAAAGCTTGTCTGCACATCGTAGGACTGGTCAGCTCAGAGGAATCGACACAAGTGGGAAGCAATTCCAGTCAGTGTAACACATTACACCTTTGATGATGTGCACCTAATTGTAAAGGGGAAATCTCATTAGCAGCCAATATCAATCTGCTAATAACCTGAGAATCCATTTCAAAACAATTGGTACATATCTGCAAATAGCAGGTGAAAGGTTTGAACCATGTACCTCCATTTGAACTGAGCAGTCACTTTTGACCACCTCATAGCATGCAAACCTTATCTCACCTGAAGGAACACCATGACATATAGGTGGCTGGGCTTTCTACTCTGCTAATGGATCTCTTTCCTATATAATCTCCTTTATAGTTATCACTAGTCCCAATAATGGAGTTTAACAAACACGTCCAGCAAGACCAAGATGCATAGGAATGACTGTACTAATGAGCACACCTTAAGCGTTGCCCACCAATGCTGAAACAATACTTGGGACTAGACATCCAGTTCAATTAACGTGTTTCAAAGCAGCAAGTTAACTGGAACAAATGATCATGCAAAAGAATGATTGGAAAGTCAGCATTGTAAATACTTTAGATTTACTCGCATCCAGAAACATTCACTCAAGAAAGAGTCGCTAGGCAGGCTGTAGTAATACCACACCACTTCAGCAATACAGTTTAAAGCAATGGCAGATGGGCCATTTGTGAATAGCTCAAATTATTTTTAAACTGCTTACAATATTTCATGTTACAGTGCCCTGTCAACACCATGAGCACCAGCATGCAGGGAATGGTCTGGCTGGAGGAATGGAAAACAAACACCTTATGACTAACTCCATGAGCTAAGTGATACAGCAATAAATTAAGCCAGTTAATTTATCCAGTCAATAAGCTTCAGGAAGATGCGGAGCATGGGGTGAAACATGATCATAGAGGGGATTTTAATGGTGGAAGCACATCGTAAAACAAACCCGTGAAAAAAGTTACCTGAATGTATGCCCTGCAAGAGTGCTCTCTTTTCTGAAGCTGAATCCATAATGCCAGCATCACCAATTGAACACAGAATATCAGAAAGTTAGTCACAATGACAGCAGGAAGACATGATAAAAATAGAAATCAAATAACAGACTCATCTGCCAGGCACACACACATCAGTCATAACTGAGTGATATTGAAAAGACTGGATTCAATTTAGACTACTAGCTTTCCTTTCACACTTGCATTCAACATCACCCCATTTAGTGTTAGAATCAATTCATACAGTCAAGCAACAGATATTTCCAAAAATCAAAATTGCCCAGCAGAAATCCCAACGTCAGTAATTTCTGTTGTCTCTTCATTCTCAAAATATGTTTTTTTTTCAATTCCATGTAGGGATGGATTTGTTCCTGAGATATTTTCTGCAACAATGAGACATTGACGAAATAACTCATAAATAGACCACAATTGCCTGGTCTAGCTATCCTTCAGCAACTGCAACTTCAAGGTTCAGTCTACGAGGCAGGAAGTTTAAGGAAAGTGACCTCTGCTTAACATGCTTAATGACTTTATATTCTAAAATAATGAAATTTCACAATTTCCATTGAATTCCATCCTCATCACTCGAGGCCTTCTTTCAAGTGAATATTGTTTTATAAATGCAGGTTGTAGCTGTAAAGCCTAACTAATTAATCCAACCAATACTTAGTGTGGTGTTTGGATAAAACTCCAAGACAAATTATGTGGTTTTCAAATTGTTTCATTTTTACTTAGACTGAAAATGTATCACTATTAATAGAGCATGAGGAAAGATTATTTTACTTTTAACAATCATCCCCAATACCATCTCCCTCCTAATAAAATTCTCCCTTTTCACGATTCCTGGAGCCTTTTTTTGACGAGACTTTCCGTTAATCGTACAACACAGTCGTCTCCTTTATTCCCTCTTAATCTCCCATTACGACAGGTCAGAATTTGCCAAATTTTGATATTTGTGTGAACTCCAAGTGAGCACAAGCTACATGCACTGACACTGCACATGGATGTTTCAGGATATCTTTAAATGTTGGGCAGACACAGACTGTCCTGGGATCTAAAGGTTAAACACAGGAACAAAAATTCTTCAGTGCGGTGCATCATGTAAAATTGCACTTAACATGTTACATTGCAACAGTCGCTAAGAAGGCCTTGCGCCTTAGCTTTTTTTATTTTGCTTTGCTATTTTTTTTCCCTGGAGCACTCTTCACTGCCAAGATGAAAAATTATCAAAGCTCATTGACACAGGAGCTCTCTGCTACCACCCCTCTCCCACGCCCACCCCACCCTTGTGTATATAATTGGTTGTGAACTTTAATTTGTGTATTCGTAAATGGCGAGCAGAAATTGCTCTGATGAATGGAGCATAAAAGACTGGTAGAAAATTATTGGGCCTGTTATGGGGCTCACTGACGTAGACTGCTCTTCATCATGGCTCCACACACTTGAATTTCTAGGTGATTGCAAATTGATTGGTAGCTCCTGGGCAGACACTGATTGACGCAGATGGGATCCAGAGGTGGTTCAAAATCAGACCGTACAAATTAACTGATTTATTGGATGTGTGGGCAACCACAGCTGTGGGAAAAGTTGTGTTGCTTAAGGTGGGCAGAGACACACTGGAGTGAATTCCGAAGGCAGTCAAGATTGCCTGACATCCACATTCAGTATCTCATCAATTCCTGACTCTGTTGCGCTTCTCTTGCGAAGCCTCAACTCAACCGAGGTCATCTACCATACAGTAATAGTGCAACTCTTCACAGCTTGTAGGTGTGAACAAGTTTAGACCGAGCACTTGATCGGTTTGGAATCCCTTTTCTCACTTCATTCCACTTTATCGGTTCCTTTCAATGAACAGTCCTTGCAGGAGCAATGATAGGTCTGTTAAAAATCTCTGAAACATGAGCACACAGGGCTGAGTGAGAATGCAGTTTTTACACAGCATTCAAGCCATGGGGAGGTCATCATAATTCAGTTATAACATCAAGTCATCTGCACGTAATAAAGCTGCTTTTGTTCAAACGATGACAGAATAGAAGTAGAAGTATTAACATCACCAGTGATCATTTAGACTGTCAAACCTTCCTGCGGCAATGCATTTTCCGAAGAGTGATACTGGAAGAAAAACTATCAAAACAAATTCACCATTTAATAAGGAAAACTTTCTGAATGTTGTCTTCCGCACTTATGTTCTGTAATTCACATTGTTTAATTTCGATACAGCTTTTTTTTTGCCTCGAGTAAATTCGTTGCCCAAAGTGAAATCAAATCATATAGATCAGGCTCGAGGCCAGTCTGTGCTGAGTTAGTTGATCTCAGACCAGTAACGTGGTCTGTGCTGATTTATCTGATCTGAAATGGGCAATGAGGCTGTGTGGATTTAACGGTTAGTATAACAGAGACTGTGCTTTACAAAATGATCTCAGCCAGGATGGTGAGATTATTTTACAAAGCACAGACTCGGTTATACTGTGCTACAAATACCTCAGTGCCTCTGGACTTGGAAGCGGAAAAAGCAAAAAAAAACAAGTGTTTGTGCTGCAGATTTTTATCTGTTGATGTCACAGCTGGAAAGTGCATGGACATCTGGAGAAGACAGCACAGGTTTCGATATAGAATAGAAGAACAGGATTAGACCATCATTCCTGCATTTATAGTGAGCTGGGCAGTAAATTCGATAAACCCACCAATATTTGTGTGAAGACAATATAATCTCTTCAAATAGTAAAAAAAATGAATCACTCAATCCACGACTGTTTGTGGGACAATGCTGTGCTGCCATGTTTCGCCTGCAAAATGTATAATCAATTCACTTTACAGTATATTCTGTGAAGCGCTTTGAGATGTCTCGAAGATGTGATAAGGCTCTATATCAAATGCAAGGATTACTATAATTATTTGTGAGTTTCTTTTTTAGCTACGTAGGGTTAATTTTACGCCTATTATAAGGGAAGAATTGTTTAGCTTCTAACTTGTCAATTCCTTTTTTCATCTCCAACACCTTAATCAGAACTTCTTTCAGTGGTAGGAAACTGACCCAATCTTGAAGCACAGACAAGTCCCTTCACACCAGGCAACATTGTGGGGAATCATTGCTGAACTTCCTCCAAGGCCAGTACACCAGATGCCACATTCACTGACTAGACTGATACAATGAAGAATGCTGACAATTATGGCAATTTGTGACGCATGACTGAAAAATAAATTTATTTACTGGAAGTGAATTGAATTTGGCAAGACATCATGTGAATATTAAAAAGATTTTTCTCATTTTACGTTACTCAAGTAAAATAAACTCAAACCAGCTTACCTCCCACTCTACCACCCGTTACCACCGATCCCGTTGCCCTCTGTTCCACCATTGGTGGCCGTGCCTTCAGCCACTACGGCCCACTCTGGAATTCTCTCTCAATCCCTCCACCTTGCCCCCTCCCCACCTTCAAAATCCCTCCTAAAGGCCTTCCTTTTTTATCGTGTTTATGGTCACCTCCCCCCTCCCTCTGGCTCAGTGTCAGAATCTGCCACTGTGAAATCCTCCGCTGCCCTGCGTGAAAGCCGCTATATAAATGCAAGTTGTTGTGGAGTATTTATTTCCTCTACCTGGCACGCTGCTTTGAGCTAAGCTGGGTGGTGTGTGATTTATCCACCCCAGAATTGTATAGGAAGCAAGCACCTAAGGCATAGAATTATACATGGTTTACAGTACAGGAGGAAGCCATATCATTCATATTCAGGTGTTAAGATCCCTAGGTCAACTGCACTGCAAAATTAACTTGTCTGTCATTTCTTCACCCAGTGTTTTCTCAGAGGACATCACAGTTTCCATTTGGTCCTCGCTCTCCCCCTCCCTCCCTCTCTCTTCCCCCTCGCTTTCACAGTAGACATTAAATGGAAACAGAGTTCAATAACAACAACAACTTGTATTTATTGTACAACCTTCACACAGGTAGCGTCTTGGGAGTGCTCAACAGTGTTGGAGCTTGATGCCAAGCCAGGGAGTGAGTGAGGTGACTGTAGGTTGAAGAGTAGGGTCTTCAGATGATATCTGAAATGTGCAAGGACGAGGCAAGGTGGAGGGATTGATACAGAGTTCCAGAATCTTGGGGCTCCATGGCTGAAAACATGGCCACCATTGGTGGACGGGATAATAACAAGCTTGCATTTATATAGCGCTCTTCACACAAGGTAATGAACTGGAGCGCTTGATAAGAGATGTGCAGGAGTCTGGAGCCAGCTGAGTAAAGGGTTCAGGTAGGGGAGTGAAATGTAAGCAGTTCAATCTGCATAAGCTATTATATAACTGAAACAACTGAAAAAGTCGCAAGAAGGAAGAAAAATCTTCTTCAAACACACACAGCAATTGAATTCCAAGCTTAAATAATTCTCCACTTGCAGAAGCAAAGTAACATTATTGGTCAGACACTTGCTCGGTGGTGAATAAAACGTTTGGATCTGAGGTGCCGTTTTAGTGGAAAATTTGCCTGGCCTTCCCCCCTCGCCACTACTCTATCAGAGAGTTGGTGGCATGATGGTTGAAGCAGATCTCAACTAAGTTATAGCTAAACACTGTTGGCACTGCACATCATCTGCTATTGGCATTCAGCAGAAGCACCCCAGGATTAATACCTAACCTGTAGTTTTAGCCTCTCTCTTTGGGAAAAAAAGCCTTGTTAACTTACAGAGCTGAATACGAGTTTTGGCTTGGAAAATAAGATTTTATTTTTAAATCCTGAGGGTGTGTTTAATCTTCTCCCACCCACTGAAGAGTGTCCCAGCTTCCTGCAACACAGTCAACGCAAGTGCAGCTCCACATCACTCAACCACAAAATCAAAGATTCTTAATCTATCGTTCTTGGACGTCACCAGAAGAACTGTAGGAATCAGGATAAAACTCTTTTAAATGAAAGTATTAGTGAATCTAATTAATATTACTTTTCCTCAACGAGTAGTACAAGATTATAATCCAATTTGAATAGGCTTCTACCAAATGAACTTACAGCCAGCCACCTTCAAATGTGCAGTGTGTTTAGAGGCTGATGTGGGTTTGCATGTGAATAGATCAGGTTAACAACAACAACAAAATTACATTTGTAAAGCGCCTTTCATGTCGAGAGGACTTCCCAAGTCACTGAACAGTTGAATAGTCAGTGATCAGGACCTGTGCGTGGGGGGAAGGTTTGGGATGAGGGAGGGCAGAGGGGGGGTAGGAGGCCAGCTGAAGGTATGGTCAAAAAGGAAGATTTGAGTCTTGCTTTGAAGGAGGCAAGAGAAGGAGCAAGGCGAAGGGATTGTGGGATGGAGTTCCAAAGGGTGGGGGCAGAGAGGTTGAAAGCCCGGCCACCAATGGTAGGGTGGGTCGGGTGGGAGATGTGGAGCAGGCCAGTGTCTGCTGAGCAGAGGGAGTGGACAGGTTGATAGGAGTCAGCAGGTCACAGGGGTAGGAGGGCGCAAGGCCTTGAAAGTGTGGATGAGGATTTTGAATGTCATCCTCTGAGGGTGGGGGAGCCAGTGGAGCCATGTGAGGGTGGGGGTGATGGGGTCAAGGAGCCCGGTGTGGGAGAGGACATGAGCTGCAGAGTTCTGGATGATCTGCAGCATGTGGAGGGAAGAGTTGGGAAGGCTAACAAGGAGATTAATAACAATAATAATCCTTGCATTTGATATAGCACCTTATCACTTCTTCGAGACGTCCCAAAGCCCTTCACAGAATATACTGTAAATTGAATATTATATTCTCCCTCTCCCTCCACTCCCTCAAGTCCCTGCAGTCTGGTTTTCGCCCTGCCTACAGCACAGAGACAGCGCTTGTCAAAGTCACAAACAACATTCTCTCTATCTGTGACCAGAGCTCCTTCTGCCTCCTCATCCTCCTGGATCTCTCTGCCACGTTCAACACAATCAACCACACCATCCTCCTCTATTAGCTCTCCTGCCTCATCTACCTTAGTGGGACTGCACTCGCATGGATCGAGTCCTACTTAAACAACCCACTCCACTTCATCTCAGCAAATGGTTTCTCCTCCCTCCCCCGATCGGTCACCTGTGAGGTACCCCAGGGCTCCATCCTTGGTCGTCTTCATTTCCTTACCTATATGCTCCCTCTGGGCAATGTCATCCGCAGACACGGAGTAAACTTCCAGATGTATGCGGATGACACACAAATCTACTTTGCCTCCTCCAGTACCAACTCCAAGTCCACTGATGTTCTATCAGCTTGTCTGATAGACATCCAAGGCCTGGACGATTGTAAACTTCCTGCAGCTGAATGTGGACAAGATGGAAGCCATACTCCTTGGCTCCCATCAACATCTTCACTCCTGCGAATCTAAACTCCTCAACCTCCCTGGGCTCTCCCTCAGACTGACTGAACCAGTGCGCAACCTAGGCATCCGATTCAACCCCTAACAGTCCTTCCTGTCCCACATCTGGTCCCTGACCAGGACCACTTTCTTCCAACACTGCCACATTGCTCACCTCCGACTGTACCTCACTTCAAATGAAGCCGAAACCCTTGGTCATGCGTTTGTCACCTCGCATTTGGATTACTCCAACGTACTCCTCATCGGTCTTCCCAGCTCCACCATTCACAAGATCCAGCTCATTCAAAACTCTGCCGCCTGCATACTGACCCCGACCAACCTCCATACTCACATCTCACCAGTTCTGGCCCAGGCTCCACTGGTTCCCCATCACCAAACGGATCGACTTCAAGATCCTCACTCTCATGTTCAAATCCATTCACTCCCTAGCTCCTCCCTACCTCTCCGACCTCCTCACTCCCGACTCCACCACCCGGCGCCTCCGCCTGACTGGCACTGGCCTCTTGCTGACCCTTGCATCCTCCGCCCCACCATCGGAGGTCGCGCTTTTAGCCACTATGTCCCGAAACTCTGGAACACTCTCCCTCAATCCCTCTCTCCCCTCTTTCATGTCCCGCCTGAAAGCGTTCCTGTTCGACCGTGCTTACGGCCACCTACCCCCTTCCCCCAGCTTGGAGTCAGGCTCCGCCACTGTTACGCACTCTGAGATGCTACCCTGCGTGGAGGGTGCAAGTTATTGTTGTGTAATACATGCAAGTTGTTGTTGTGTAAATTGAACTGACTGTACGTTTTGTGAGCAAAATGCAGCAGCCAATTGCGCACATCAGTGTCCCACAAACAGTCGTGGACTGAGTGAATTAAGGTGAACCCAGTTTGTAAAGTGTAGAAAAATATGAGAGCAATGTAAGAGCTAAGTACCAGCATAAATAGCTACAATCAGTGAAGCAATTAATCTCAGTTCTATGAGAGCAATTCCGAGCTACTCAGTAACAGGCCTGGCCAGAAATAGCAGAATACAAGAGGATGCTTGATACAAATTCCATGGGATTTTTGTATTTAGAAGTAGCAGGAATTTCTCCTTTGTAATGAAATAGCATTTTATTCCAGAAGATAAGATTCTTGCAAAATATTGCATGATTTTATGAACAAGGTATCATGAAATAATTTAGTGAAGAAAATGTTTTTTTTTTGAAGGTTGGATTTGGGTGCACAACATAACTGTGCTTCCTAAAGCATGAGGCTATGTGCCAAATGTTACACTAATATAAAAAACCTCCTTAGAATCAGTTTGGTTCCCACAGATAGAGAGGCAAAGTTTTCCCACCTTGTTCAGGCTCCGAGCAGCGCTGTCCTTCCCTCCTGGAGTCAAGCTAATGAGCTGCATATTCAGCAAATCTACAAGCTGTTCCATGAACTTTACAGAGAACAAAATGTCTCCAGCGTGAATCAGTCGTCTTGTTTGCTCAGCCAGCTCCCGAGCAAGATTTGCAGCAGATTCTCCAGATCGGATCTAGAATTAAAAACACAATTTTTTTTAAGATAAGAAACTTTTTAATGTGCAAAATACTTTATTCCTCAAATATTCCTCTGAAACACCACAGGCAATACACAATTGGGAAAGCAAACAAATATGAGCCATTATTAATGATATGCCCCTCTAATATTCCTCTACAAGAGGAAACTGTCATTCCCCATAGACCTGATCAATTCTTTTGAACAACCAAATCAGATCACCCTATAGTGGCCTCAGCATGATGCATTAATAATCCTTGCATTTGATATAGTGCCCTATCACATCATTGAGACCTCTCAAATGTTTCACAAAAATACGCTGTAAAGTGAATTGACTATATCTTTTGCTATGGGAGTTAATACATTTGGGGATGAGCTGTTGGAACAAGCTGGATGGGCTGAAAAGCCTCCTTCTGTTCCTGTTTTCCTATGTCCTTCGGCAGAGACATTAAACCGAGGTCCCGTCTACTTGTTCAGGTGGATGTTAAAGATCCCATGGCACTATTCAAAAAGAGAAGGGAATTTCTCCCAGTGTCCTGGCCAACAATCCCCCAAATAAAATTGGTCATTCGTCTCATGGCTGTTTGTGCTGTGTGCAATTGTGTTTCTGCAGTTGCCTACAAATACACAATCATTCATGTCACAGCAAATCCTGTGAAGCGCTTTGAGATGCTGGACCTATGGGTTTGCCTTTATCTCATCCCCAATTAATCTTGTGACATACAAATTAAGTCTTACAGTCATGGGCCAAAAATCCTGGCAATTTGTAGTCTCCAGACCCTGAAACAACTCATGAGAAAACAATTAGACTTCATACAGGCCAGTTACGTAAGGCCATTTGTTGCTGGTTCAATGCAAATTGCATGTTGAATCAATGAAAACTCTACAGTAAACATTTTACAGGAACTATTGTGATTCAGGGAACAACAACAACAACAACAACAACAAGATTCCATTTATAGAGCGCCTTTCACGTCAGGAGGACGTCCCAAGGCGCTGCACAGTTGGGTCATGACCCGAGCAGGGGGGAAATGGTCAGGGTGAGGGGAGGGAAGGGAGGGAGAGAGGAGGGGGGAAATGGTCAGGGTGAGGGGAGGGAAGGGAGGGAGCGAGGAGGAGGAAGAGAGTCGAGAGGGGAGCTGAAGGCACGGTCAAAGAGAAAGGTTTTGAGACCGGCCTTGAAGGAGGAAAGGGAGGAAGCGGCGAAGGCACTGGGGGATGGAGTTCCAGAGCCTGGGGGCTGAGAGGCTGAAGGCCCGACCACCGATGGTAGGGCGGTTGGGGCGGGGGACGTGGAGCAGACCGGAGCCAGAGGAACGGAGGGTACGGGCAGGTAGGTAGGGGGATAGTAGGTTGGAGAGGTAGGAGGGAGCAAGGCCGTGAATGGCCTTGTAGGTGAGGATGAGGATCTTGAAATCAATCCTCTGGGGGATGGGGAGCCAGTGGTGGCGAGCGAGGGTGGGAGTGATGTGATCGCGAAGCCTGGTGCGGGACAGTACACGAGCTGCAGAGTTCTGAATGACCTGCAGCTTGTGGAGGGAGGTGGCGGGAAGGCCGGCGAGGAGAGAGTTCCCATAGTCCAGCCTTGAGGTGACAAAGGCGTGAACCAGGGTTTCAGGAAGCAGTCGGAAGCCAACTCCACAAGGTCATCTGCAAAAGATTGTACTTGTACTGCAGGCAGGCATTTCATTAAAAAGTTTTAAAAGAGTTTTCAGGCAGTCTGTCGGCTTTTTACAAATGTTAAATATTAATCAGCATTCCGCCTCTGTATCATCTGCTCACATGTGCAGTGTTTGCTCAGACTTTAGCTAGAGGGAGTGCAATATGGAGCTATCAATATAACTATGTCTGTGTCTATTAAGGCTCTGTCTCAACACTGTCTACAGTTCAAATGAGAAGACTGAAACAGCAGAGTCTGTTAGTAACCCTGTTCACAAGTCTGTTCAACATGAACACACTCTCTCTCTCACACACACACTTATCAGTTTGCATAGCAATAACAAAATAAAGTCATACACTTTGGCATGTTGGTCAACCAGGAATATTTACCCAGTTTGCGAGCTATTCTAAAAAATTCTAATGTACACAAACTATGTTGCATTTTCACCAATAAAACATAAAAATAATCCCTGCATTTTCACAATGCTTTACCTTGTCAACAAAACGTCTCAAAGCCTTTCACAGGATTTACTGTAAATTGCAGTTACTCTGCATTTGTAGGTGCCACAAAATAAAATGATTTATTTTTTAAAAAGTTCCTGGATAAAAGTCCCATCTGGTCTTTATTTTCTAATAAGATCAATTTACTGCACCACCTCATGTTACTAATGCTGAAAGAACATCAGCCCCTTTAATTTTGTTTCACTTTTATCTGTGAAATACTGTATTCCACATTTTAATGCCATTTTAACGCTGATGGATGTTTACGACAGATTAACATTTTTAAAACAGCTGAAAAGGAACCGAATGCATTGGCAGCTTCACAGAATGAGCTGTTTGTGTTGCAGTTCATTAGATCTCTGCAGAATACAGAAAGCTGTGACTAATGCTTAAAGACGCAAATGCTTTTTGACAAGGCAAGCCATATTTCAAGCGATCGAAACCTGTGCCCAAAGTGGCAGCAGTTGTTTGTTTTCTCTGACTCTTGTTTGGTTGGATAAGCCAAGAATCAAAAGATGCGCACAAATGTGTTTTCTCCCAGACTTGGTGGTGGTTGTGGTGGTAGTCGTGGTCTGTATTAGGGGGGTTCTTGTGGTCTTCGGCACCACCGATGATGATTATATCTAAAATATTTAGAAGATGGCAAGGAAAGGAAATGCACAGATCCTGCTTCTCATGGATCGGGACGACAAACAACCCAATTCTGAACACAGAAGTGTGCGATGAAGCACTTCAACAACAACAACTTGCATTTATATAGCGCCCCTCACATGGGGTTAGCGGTCCCAGAATGCTATACAGTGGCGGAGCACGACTTCCTCACTACTTTGCCCCTTTAAAGCTAGTGAACAATCTTCAGGTTATCTCTTCTCGATTTTTATTTTGTACTACACAGATGAGCGGAAATAAAGCGTAAATAGTCAGCGTAAATAGGGAGACTTACCCTGTGAGAGAGCTGGCTCACCCATGGAGAGGTGCAGTTACTAAGATCCGGTCCCTGTGGGTCCCAGAATCCGTTAGATGACAAGCAGGCATAGGTAGCTACACCTGCAGATAGATAGATATCGATAAAGGTTAAACTCACATAACCATGGACAAATTAAATAGGCCATTATCTCCTTCCTGCCCCAGATAAATGGTTACCCAATAATATATATATAGCTATTTAACTATATACACATCACTCCAAAATATGGCACCAAACCTACCCTCCTATTCCAGGCCTTTCATATTATTTGCTAAATACCAGCTGCTGAATGATATGTGGATTGCTTTGGCATAGGAAGTGCTTTACTTCCAATTGCTACCTATCCAATCCAAGGTTTGTGAATACACACAGGGTTTGGAGTCTACATTGATTAGAACAACAACAACAACAAAAACAATAACTTGCATTTATATAGTGCCCTTCACACCGGGTAGTGTGCCGGAGCTCTTGAATATGCAATCTGCACCTGCAGCAGGAAGAACCATTGCTCAATGGCTGTGGGGAGGACAAGCATGGCAATGCTTTCAGGCATTTTCTGTTGAGCTGTGCTGGTCACCACATGGCTTGAGGGCAGTTCCTGGTATTCACTGACCTACCAAGTGAGGGTACAAACCTGTGTTGGTCAGATGTCTAATGACCAAGTAGTGACCTCCCTCAGGTAAACATCAAGTTCCCTGTTAAATACATTGATGCTTTTTGTTTCACCCACAGGGAGTTCCACATTCTCACCACGTAAACATGTAAAGATTTTTCATGTGCAAGGTTGAAAAGGGAGTGCCGGTAGGTAGGGCATCAGAACAATCATCTAATGCCAAGCACAATTTCATACAAGTGATAGGGCAGTAATCAGGAGTGCTTTCTGCTGGCCTTAGGTGTTGAGGGAAATTGAGGTCAGTTGACCTGCCACAGACTGGAGATCAAACCAGCATTTTTCCCATTGATATGGATTTGAGGTACAGAGGGCATTTGTCTTTGTGTATTGGACTGCTGGGGGCAATTGCATTATCTCTATTTGACACATAAAGGTTGATTGAAAATCACTTAAAAACTGCACCTGAAAACATTTTATAAACAGAGTTTATGGTTCTTACCGATTGTCCCCTTCGGGCAGGGCTGCTTTGCCACCTCGCCCGGTTGGGTTTTAGGCCATAAGATGTCCCGTGTCTCTGTGGCTTCACAGCACTCTGGTACCGCAACAGGGACCTGCGATGGTGTTGGTGGTTTGGCAGTGGTCCCACCAACTAACTGAGGCTTGTCTGGCGGGGAAGCCATTGTTCCTTTTCTCCCAGACTTGGTGGTGGTTGTGGTGGTAGTTGTGGTGTGTATTAGGGGGCTTCTCGTGGTCTTCGGCACCACCGACGATGACGTGGATTCTAGAGAAAAAAAGCCAGTTCAACAGTTAGCCATTTGAAGACAATTATACCATACATTTAATAATAATCCTTGCATTTTATGCTGAGCTTTATCATATCTGTGAGACGTCTCCAAGTGCTTTACAGAATATAGTGCAAAATGGATTGACTGCATTTCGTGGGTGAAACGCGGCAGCCAATTGCACACAGCAGTGTCCCACAAACAATCATGGATTGAGTGACCACATTTTGTTTAATTAAAATTTTTTACCGCCGGAAAACGATCTGCCAATCGACCAACAACCAGGTTCCTACTTGTTGCTAGGTAAACAGAGGCGTGTGGAGTCAGGAAACTTGTCCAAGTTTTCACCCAGCCTGGGAATCGAACCCAAGTCCTGTCGCTTGTGAGGTGAGTTTAACCCATTTGACCAACGTCCTGGGATCATGCTGGAATTCAAGATTACAATTTTCACAGCAATTTTGCTTCTGAATGTCAACCCACTCTCGGTTCATGTGGTTAAAGAATGATTCACTCTAAGTGCAGGCTTTTAATACCATTCAGTGAACACACAAAACCTCTGGTTAGAATTCACACCTCCTCCCCCAATATTTTCTTCCCACACACCTGAGATTCATAGGCACAGGTAGCCCTTTGAAATTTCACTTAAGTGACCATTCTTTACATGTGAGCTAAGGAACAAGCTACTGCAACCTTTGAACTGTGGGAGGGGAGGAGAAGGAGGCCTTCACTGTGCAGTTTGACCCTAAAATCACCCAAGGCATTGTTGAAGAAGAAAGTCTTCAGGTAAGATCTGAAAATGGGCAAAGAAGGGACAAGGAGCAAGGACTGCTGGCAGGGAGCTCCAGAGCCTCGGAATGTAGTGGCTGAAAGCATAGCCACCGATGGTGGAACGGAGAGGTCGAGGAACATGCAGAATGCCTGAGCTAGCTGAGCGAAGGGGGTGGGTAGAGGAGTGGGGTATGAATAAACTGAATTTTTTGAATTTCCAAGCATTGGAGTCACCTGAGTTATAGTTACGAGCAAGGACCAATGCTGAAAATTAATTCTCATTGTCCCACCCCTCCTCACAATGACTCTCTTTTTGAGAACAAACTTACCTCAGGATTCCATCAATACCAGCCTTCAATTACCCACATTTAGGGAAACATAGTGCGGTGTCACCTCCATCCCTTTGTCCCCTGTCCATTGAACAACTCAACAACAACAACTTGCACTTATATAGCGCCCTCCACACAGGGTAGCATCTCGGAGGTGGAGTTTGTTTGAGCTGCAGGTTGTGGCTGGTGGAACGAGAGAACGACAAGGAGTGCGTTTGAAAAGTTGAGACAGCAAAGGTGTGAGATAGAGACCGAGCTGGGTGATGTGACACAGATGAAGGAAAATGGTCCTAGTCAGGGACCAAATACACGGAAGGAAGGCGAGCGATCTGAGGATTGAACCAAGCACCATAACTGTGTTCTGGTTCGGTGAGTTTGAGAGAGAAATCAGGGAAGCTGACAAGGTCAGAGCTGGAAATGAAGAGACACTGGTGGGAGCCAAGGAGAATGGATTCCTATCCATTTTAAGCTGCAAGGCTCATCCTGGTATCAGTGTCTCACACAGAACATCGGTGAATCTGATATTAAAAGGAGGTGTGAAAGTAGATTTGGGGGTTATCCAGAAGTTATGTGTCTGCTGAGGATGTCATGAAAAGGGAGCAATTCAATGAAAAAAAGGAGTTACTGAGGAGAGAATGCCCCGGCAGTCCAAAGGTAATTGTGAAATAGGAGAAAAAAAGGGAAACTGTAAGAAAGCGGGAATTACAAATTCCTATTCTTCCTTACAAGTAAATCGATGTATAGATGCAGCATCTCATCCATTCTTTTTAAAAAAAGCCTGCCTGAATTTGCTTCATTGGAGAAAGAAAGTAAGCAATTTATTGCTGTTTAATGCAATCCACTTATCAGTGGCCACCAATATTGGCTTCAATATTGTTACACTACCCCTGCGAATGGAAGACATTTGCAGCAACAATCAAAAGTATTTTACATTATTTGAAAATAGCCTTCTCTAGATTTGCAGGCACTTGTCACTGAATGGAGGGTGAATAATTATGATAGTATATAAACTGCATGAAACTGATGTATACAAGTCGCAGAGAGTGAAAGAGACCAAAAAAAAGCATCAGATTAAACTTGATAATTTTTTTCATAGATTAAAACCATTCTTGTGACTTGAAGATAAGGAGGGGAAGGATTTTTTCTCTTCTTTGTGAAATGGCAATGACTCATTGCAAATGATTCACCTCAGTCACCCTTCTCCATATGTAGGGTGAGACAGATTATTATTTATAATATAATACAATAATAATAATCCTTGCATTTGATTTAGACATCTCAAAGCGCTTCACAAATCTCAAAGCGCTACTGTAAATTGAATTGACTGGATATTTTGTAAGAGAAATGCAACCAATTGCTCACAGCAATGTCCCACAAATATTGAGTGACCAACTTATTACTTTATTTACTTTTTTTTAAAGAGATTATTACCCCTGGAAGAACAATAAGCAAATCAACTAAAACTGGGTTCCTACTTACTGCTAGGCAATCAGAGGCATGTGGCGTGAGGAAACTTGCCCAATGTTTCGTCCTGCTGGGAATCAAACCCAGGTCCTCTCGCTTGTGAGTGCTCTAAACACTGTAAGCTACTGGACAAATATTTAACCACATCTAAAGGACATCAAAGATCTACGCTTGCCTAGCATTCATACATATGATGGTTACTAGATAGTGACCAAGAACAACAATGTTCTTGGTCAATGTTCTGCTTCCAATGTTCTGTCTCTCATACCCAAAATTAGCCAAGCCAACTCAGCCCAGGATGGACTTTGCACCTTTGCACTCTGCTTCTAATCTATTTTCACTTTAAACAATGATGAATTGAGCCATCAGAGACACTGCAGATATGTGTTTTAGTTTCAAGGTTATAAGTGTGCTTAATTTGGGAATGGGAAGACAATGGGTAGAAATGATATTCTGGAAGGACAAGATCAAATGGGGCAAAGGGCTTTTTAAATCCTGACCTCTCATGCTAAAAAGATCGATCAATAATGTATTCAGATTTTCCTGGATATCCTGAGTTTGGTGGTGTTTTCTCACATAAGTAAATCATTGAAGCAGCTAAAACTGCTGCCATCTGATACCACAAGTCTTTCAATCAATCTCCCTCAGACATTGCTCTTGATGAATCAGGGGAATTTCCTGAGCCTCTCCCAAACTAATGCAGCAGCCAGTAATAAATTGAACTCCTTGAAAATCACATTTTTTAAGCTAAACATTTTATTCCCAGGCACCATTAATCAGAGGATCACAATTATGTTTAATTCAAATTATTTTCACATTTGCTGAATGCGTGGAATGTGATTTACATGAAAGGTTAGTGTGTGTCATCCTCCTTCCCCCCCTGCTCCCCACCCTCCCCGATCCCGACCCCCAGCTCGGGTCCGATACTCTGACTGTCCAGCGCCTTGGGCTGTCCTCCCGATGAGAAAGATGCAATACAAATGTAATTTTGATGTTGTGTCTTCAGGAATTGGAAAAATATTTCTAGATCAGAGAAAAACTTGCTACGGAGACCCAAGGCTGAGACTGATAGATTCTTGAAAAATAGAGGGATTAAGGGATATGGGGATAGGGCAGGTAATCGGAGTTAGGTGAGAAGATCAGCCATGATCTTATTGAATGGCGGAGCAGGCACGAAGGGCCGAATGGCCTACTCCTGCTCCTAATTCTTATGTTCTTATGTTCTTATTTCCAAAGATCGTCACATTTATAAAGCTTTATGATTTCTCAAACAGACACGAACATCAAATTTATTACAGAGCTGCTTCTGTTTCCCCGGCTGCCAGTACATGGAATTTGACTCCTTTGCCCTTTAAACAGCAACAGCCAGCATCAAACAAACAACAATGCACGCTCACTTGTTTGAGTCACAATGTTGTTTTGGGAAGGTTCACACAGGCCAACGAAACGATGACACGAACCTGTGCCCAGAAAACTTATAATGTTCAGTACCACCACATTTACACTGATGCCTCTGAAGAAGCTGGGGAATGTAACACACAGTGCTATACAAGCTCCAGAGGAAGCAGAACTGCCCCATTTACTTTACTCACAGCCTCAAGACTGACACCCCAATACAGTGGTTGGGCATGGGTTGATTTGTAGGAGGATGAGATGTTAAACCAAGATCCTGTCTGCCTGTTCAGTTGGACGTTAAAAGAGATTGCTTTGCACTAATTAAAATGAGTAGGGAGCTTCTACCGGTATCCTGGCCAACATAATCCCCTACAAATGAAAGAATTATTATTATTATTCTACACCACCCAGTGCAACTGTGGAGACCAGAATGTTGCAAGCTTGAATCCGTTTTTGTGCTGAGCTACCAGTTGGACAACTACAATTGGTCTCAACATCAATGCACTGGGGAATCGGAAATCAGACAGTTTCTACTCCTGCTCATTATCACTGACTCTTTACTGAATTGTGTGCCTATGGATGGCTGGTGAGGATAAAGACCAATCTTGGTTGTGATCTCCATGTGCTAGACAAAGAATAAAGAGTCAAAATACCTCAAGGAAAAAATAATGAAAGTAAATAAATACAAGCTGAGATATCTCAATACTCTCAACAAGGTTTAAAATAATCCTTACATTTGATATTGCATCTTATCATGGTGCTGAGACATCACAAATCATCACAAGACTGTGATGATTTACTACGAAGTGCAGTAAATGTCCATTTGTGGGCAGACAGGGAAGCTAATTTGCGCGCAACGATGTCCTACAGTCATGAAGTTAATGACCATTAAATGAAAGGATTATTGGATGGAAGTATTCCAAATCACATCTCATTTTGGTGTTTTCTGGTATGGCTCTCGCTGAATATAAATGATATTTGTCTCTGTGCCAGAGATATTAAATTCTCTCTTTGTTCAGCAAATGCACCACAACATTTTACAG